TTTCTAATCTACTCTATGTTTCGCGTCTGCATGTAAACACCTGCTTACACCGATCACGAAGGTTCGCAGTTATATAAAAATTGTGCAAAAAACAAGTTTATTTTGAAAACGAAGAAAATATTACAAGTGTATTGGTTGCGACATTCTGAGAGAGAGTCAATTCTTTTAGCGTATTATTAAGACTAATTTATAAGGTACATGGCCAACATGTGATATCAGTTAGTATAAACATCCGACAACGAGTCTGGTTGTGACTAATTTCAATATCTTAGAATAACAATTGCTAAAGGACAAAACTATTTAAATTGTACAGGCTCTCACACAACANTAACAGAGTTATATAACAATGTTATATAACTAAGGCGGAAATAGGAACATGTATGTAACTTCCATGTTACATAATTGCAACATAACATATAACAAAAATTATGTTGCCGATATATGACAACAATATAACAGTGTTTACTGGGTACTTATGTGTTAAGAAGCTAATATCGTCTGTTTTTGTATTCCAAATAGAAAGAATACGAAGTTAATTTCGCCAATTACAGACCAAATTTTATTTGTGATACTCTCAATTTTTATAGCATTACAATGACGACGTTTCGATCATTGTTTTTGATCATCTTCAGGTCTACAAATAAACAATACGAATTTACACATCTGATTTATTACAGTAAGATAACAATAATTTAAAATCATCTAAACTCACCATCAGTAAAAAATGGAAACGTAGTTACATGGTTAATGTTTTTCACATAAATAATGTTATTCACATTAATAATGTTATTCACATAAATAAATATAGTCAACAATCAAAACAAACTAAACAAACACTGTGACAAAAACGTGAGACAAAACGAAGACAAGTTAGTCAGTTGAAACGTCGAATGAGACTGATTTGTGTTCATACAAAGGAAAGAAAATTAAATGAGCGCAGATAGATAGAGGTCGTGAAACTTATCAGTATCTGTTTGTAAATTCAATGTATATGAATTAGCTTTGATGTGAGCCATTTCAGACTAGAGGCGTTTTGATAAACAAGTTTCCCTATCTTTAATTTTAACATAATCCCAATTTATAATATGCGACAGATGGTCGAGTCGATGTTTTGTAATTACATTATGATATTTGGGAAAACTATTTATATTATTTCGTTGTTCTTTTATGCGTGTACTTAATTTCTTTTTTGTTTGATCTATATAGTTTGCAGGACAAGTCGAGCAGTATATCTGATAAACGACATTGGTGTTATCAACTTTTTGCAATTTATCCGTTCCTCGTGTAACAATATGATCTAGATTAATGGAATTAACCGTGCGAATATTGTAATTTTTGAGTTTGGTGTTCAGTTGTTTAGTAAAACTGTTAGTGTATGGAATTGTAAGGCTAACTTCCGGTTCAATTATTGTTGGACACAAACTGTTATTATTATTACAATTTAAAACTGCGAGTCTTTTTCTGATATGTTTTTTAATAAAAGTGAGAGGATAAGAATTGTTTTGCAAAATCTTTGTAACTACTTTCAGATTTTTATCATGAAATGCAATCTTGGTGTCTTTTGATGTAACTTCTCTTTTTACGAACGTCCCGGAAGATTGCATTATACAGAGTATAAAAAACAGATGGAACTTTATAGAAGACAAATGTAAAGTACCATGGAATGAATTTCAGATCGGTCTCAAACTTTTACTAGGGTCAACCTTTTTCACCTTTAATAACTTATTTTATAAACAAAACTTTGGGACACCGATGGGATCCCCATCTTCTCCGATATTTCTGCACTTCTAATGATTTGTACATCGAGAAAACTAATTTGATTGTTCATTTCTATCTCATGTGTAAATTGGAGATTAGAATTATACGAATTAAATACATTTAACGTGTGTTCAATTTTGTTAGTCGGTAAAATCAAAAAAGAATCATCGACATATCTGTAGTAGTGTGCAACCTCAAAATCAATTTTATCAAAACAAAAGGTTTCCAAATCTCTTAATGCTAAATCGCAAAATATCGGAGAAGATGGGGATCCCATCGGTGTCCCAAAGTTTTGTTTATAAAATAAGTTATTAAAAGTGAAAAAGGTTGACCCTAGTAGAAGTTTGAGACCGATCTGAAATTCATTCCATGGTACTTTACATTTGTCTTCTATAAAGTTCCATCTGTTTTTTATACTCTGTGTAACGCAATCTTCCGGGACGTTCGTAAAAAGAGAAGTTACATCAAAAGATACCATACTATAATCTTTAGGAATTTGAAAATTTTTTATTTTCTCAATAAATTCAACACTATTATTGATATTAAAGGGAGACGTTGGTACATTCTCAGTTATCAATTTCGCTACGAACTTTGAGAAAAAGTAGTAAGGTGTGTCGATATTAAAAACAATAATTCAAAACGGGTATCCTACTTTATGGATTTTTGGTAACGCGTAACAACGTGGAAGGTTCGACTCAGTCACAAACAATTGATTGTAAAGTTTTTTAACGCGTTTCCCGTTGCTGTTAATAGTGTCATCAATATACTTTTTGTCCCACCAACGTTTAAGTAGTTCTTTAAGTTTATCGATCATTTGCTTTAAAGGATTTTTGCTTAGCAATTCGTACGTTTTATTGTCTGATAACATGACATTTACTTTTTGAATATAATCAGTTTTGTTAATTGCTACTGTTGTATTTCCTTTATCTGCTAGTGTAAACATGATGTGTTGTTTAGCAAATTTTTCTGTTTCTAAAATGTGTTGATGTAACAATTTTTTATCTTTTTCAATGTGATTTTGTTTTTGGTTTTTGTCTAAAATGCAATGTGGTGTTTCGAACTTCGTTATGATTAGAGATTGGAATTTGAAAATTCGTATTGTTTATTTGTTTATTTATAGACCTGAAGATGATCAAAAACAATTATCGAAACGTCGTCATTGTAATGCTATAAAAATAGAGAGTATCACAAATAAAATTTGGTCTGTAATTGGTGAAATTAACTTCGTTTTCTTTCTATTTGAAGTCTACTTAGTTTACGGCCAGGATGATTACCGTGAAACGGAGTGAAGTCGATCAAAAAACTCTGTTTTTCGACTATTTTATCGCTAATTTTATGAATCAAAATTCTGAAAAAAATAACACTGGTCAACAGTGGTCATGCCACACAAACTCTGATGAGTGATCGTGTCTTGACTATCTACCCTCATTACGAAAACACACTTACTTTGTTTCAATCACCCTCAGTTTTCTTGTGATAAGGTTAAGTTCATTTTCGGTATTGTAGTGATAAACACATATGTACGGCTGTAAAAAGCGTGCTATATATATATCTGTTTTCGTTATTAATTTGATTGTGGTGGATTTAATAAACTTCTGTGCTTCTGCGAATATGCCGAGAAAGTGTATTAACGATTCTAACTCTTTCTGTTACATTTGTGGTGAACTGACTTTCAAAAACCAAAGGCGAAATTTTTCTGAATTAATTTTGAAGTGCTATCACGAGTATTTTGGTTTTGCGGTGGCTCATCAGGACAAAGCTTGGGCCCCACATATTTGTTGCATAACATGTGTAAAAAATTTAACTGATTGGAAGAAAGGATCACGTCATATGCCATTTGCTGTTCCCATGATATGGACTGAGCCTAGAGATCATGTTTTAGACTGCTATTTTTGTCTTACTCCAATAAAGGGCATAAATGCAAAGGCGAAACACACAGTTCGATACCCTGATTTATCATCAGCAACAAGACCTGTTCCTCATAATTATAATTTACCGATACCAGTTTCGTCTACATCGTTTAAGGTTGACGAATCACAACTCTCCACTTCAAGCCAATTGAGTAATGACAATGATGACGACTCAGAGTTTGAAGAAATTCAAGATAAGCCACATCTAATAACTCAAGGGGATCTAAATGACCTGGTTCGCGATTTGAATTTATCAAAAAAACAGTCAGAACTGTTAGGATCTCGTTTGAAAGGGTGGAATTTGTTACATCGAGAAACCAAAATAAGCCATTTTCGAAATCGTGATGAACATTTTAAAGGTTTTTTTTCTCAAGATGGAGACTTGGTTTACTGTCATGATATAAATTCAGTTATGAAAATTTTGGAAATAAAATTTGATCCCTCTCAGTGGCGTTTGTTTATCGACTCATCCAAGACGAGCTTAAAAGCAGTTCTACTCCATAACGGTAATGTACTTCCTTCTGTTCCTTTAGCACACGGTACTAATATGAAAGAAACTTATGAGATCATGAAACTATTACTTGAGAAAATCCAGTATAATACATATGGTTTTAAAATTTGCGGCGATTTAAAAGTTATTGCCTTACTNCAATTGAGCAAATAAATTCAGTGGGAGCCACGGCTCTGCATGGTGATTCAAGTAGAAAATTTAAACTTTACTAAACAATGTAACTTGTAGTTAAAGTAAAAAAAAGAACAATCACATACATTTGAGCAAACAAATTCAATGGGAGTGTTGACTGCATGGTTTTAGAAAGTTTGGATAAATTTGCTCATAACTTGTTTTAAGTTACAAACACGACTCTAAATTTTCATTTATTAGCTGGCTTCTTACTTTACTTTTAATTATATTTATGCAAGGGCTTGCTCGCACCAATATGTCGATTCGAAGATAGTCAGCACTCCACATGCCAACTTCTGCATCTCACTGTAGCAATCTGGAAGACTATTGGGATGCGGTGAAAAGCGAGTACAAGTGGCTGAGAGATAGAATCGGTGCCTAATCCTCGTTAATCAATTCAGAACGATTTTTAAATGTTTTTGTTTTTGATAGAATAAATAATATTTTCGTATGGAGTTAAAGAGCCGCAGCTTCACATCCAAAGAGCCGCAGGTTGCCTACCCCTGTTTTGGGGGGAAATGTAGATGAGACAAATAGAAAATTACAACTACTTTCGCTGATTATTAAAAAAATTAAAAAATGCCTGACAATTCCATTTCGTCCCGGCTCCATCAAATAGCTAGACTTACTGAAAAAGTATATTAACCAACCTTGGGGTATGTTCATTATTGCTACGGTAAATCCAGCCACAAGATCGCCAGTTAAATCAGTTTTCAAATGGTATTTTGAAAGCCATCTAATTGCAGGAACTATATTTAAGAGTACTTTTATTGGATTGCAGCTTTTGCAATTTTGAATATTTTCGGTAATAGCTGAAGCAAATTAAATTGAAACAATCAGTTCAGTCATTCTAGGCTTTCCTTTATTTTAATTCACTTACAACTTTTTGGTGGTTTTTCGTATCCATATTCTGCATGTAATTGCTCCTGTTCATACAAAGGCCTCTCAATTTTAACTACCAAAGGACTTGCATCTTCCATTTTGTACTTGAATTAGATTAAATATTAATATAATTTAATTTAATTTCTAATTGAACAGATTAAACAGAAAATTATAAGTTATATTTATACCTTTGTATTAATTGCTTACAGATAAGTAGACAAGTGCCTATTAACTATGCTAAACTTACCCCAAAAGTCACACCACCCTTATGTGCCACTTCACTACACCATGAAAAAATGCAAAATGCCCTTGGCTTTGCACACTGTTTATATTTATTGTTATATATACCCCTCTAAAATGTTTTATTTGTTTGTTAATGGCGGTTACATATCGCTTTCTTTCAAATGTTGAATGAACGTAAAACTAACAGATAAAATACAATAAAATGTGACCAGCTACCAACCAAGGACTAATTACATCGGTTATAGTAAAGTATTGTACGTACAAAGGCAATATGTTTATATTGTACAAATATAAACGGAAAAGCGACGAAAATGGAAAACTTTTTGAGGCATACAGTAAAAAGTACATATCCAATATTAGACCAAAAATATAATGATTTTACAATAAATTAATTTGTTGTATTATATCAGTTTAAAATGTACAGACTAATATCTCTATAACGACAAGGCAATTCTCTACAACGAGAAAAAGAATTAATTTTTGAAATAATGGTCTAGGGGGGGATCTGCCACTAAATTTTTCATCGATAAAATTCATTTGCTTGTTGCTGTGTTTCAGAAAAAACCCCTATAATGCAATTATACGATACTATTCATTTTACCAGGAACAAAGACAATAGCATGAGATTCATTTAATATTAAAGATCAAATTAAGTTGTAATAAAAAAGGATAGATTTTGCACTACAGAAGTTTTGAAAGTATTTATTCAGTTGTTAGTAAGTATGTCACTGTAAAAAAGCTGAGTAACTTTTATAACATCGTATAATTAATGATTTATTCTTATAATCTCTCTATGTAGAATGTAGGTAAGTATTATAAAAAACAGGGTACATATTAGGCCCAGCTAGGTATTACTTTTATTCTGCTCATTTGTTATTCGAATATGTTTATTTTTCAACAAGATATAGGCGTTGTAACAATATATTAATTGTTACGTACCAAAGTAAAGTAATCAAAACAAACTCATGGGCAATTAGTTACACCTAATTAATAACAAAATAATACGTGGTTACTTCTACGAAAATTCAAATAAAAATTGAGAAAAGAAATCATTTATTAGATCACATCGATGTAAATTTGTAAGAAACATGTGTGCATTACAACTACAAAACCGAAAAACCCCTTTCCGTTAGTAGATCAATTACAGATCATTTAAATAGTGAGAATAAGTAGCAATCGTTACTACGAAGGAATCAGATTAGAAATGAGTAAAGGTGGTGATGCGGGACTTACGCTCATCAACCGCGTGCATCATCTTCATTCACCCTAATGGTTGCGTACTCTCTGCCATAGTGACCCTTATTTGTAATCATTACTATAAATAGGAGCTAAACTTATAATCTGATTCATAGTTTGAAATCTAGGTGACCATGACAACGGAAAAAAGGGAAAATATACTCATGTGACATTTGCGTAGAGTGACAAAAGTAGTATAAATATGGACATGAAGAAGAACGAAATGTTTTCCGAAAAGAATCAGCAACAGAACGAGGATGTTGACAATATGGCTTCCCAACGGGAAGATCAGCATAAGAATGATAATATTGATAATGCGGACGAAGGTGACGTCGGATTAGATGTAATTCTTCTTTTTATTTCTATATGAAATTAGCAAACAAGCCTCCAGTTTGTTGTTATCGTCTCATTTGTAATTCTAATAAGAAAGCACTATACAATAAACTAAATATCAAGATATACCCAAGTGTATTGTAGGGAATCCACAAGAAACTATTTTTTATTCAAATGCAAAGAATGGACGAATCAGTAAAATTGTGGAGAAATACTCAGGAAAAAGAGATAAATGCATCAAGTGGTTGTTACTTCAATGATGGCGTCAGAATAATGGATTTCGTTCTAGTCGTAGACACAAAAGTATTGGACGATGCCGAAAAGGTAGAAATATTGCAAGAATATATAAGTGGACTTATGCTTTACGGTTGCGAATTTGAAGACGATAGAGGACAGGTAAAAATAGTGATAACACTTCAAATGTATGTTTCAACAGTTTCTTAGGAAATCATTCTCAGAGAACATGATCAATTGGTAAGAGTCTCACAATCACCACAGTTACTGTCCTCTGAGGATGCTAACTGTTGAAACTGGCGAAACGTCTATTAATGTATTGTTTTGCAGTCTAAATGTCCTAATCCTGAAACTAAAGGCTCGAAACACTTTGGTATAAACCTATAAAACATTTAACGGAGTAATAAATTACAAAATTCGTTAACGAACATTGATTATTTACTTTTGAATTATTATTATTATTAAGTAATTATTTTGTTAGCATTTTTTATTTCCACATTTTCAGACTCTCCTTGTTTTTAGATCCATACAAATCTCATGTTTATTAAAGTCCATTGTCCTACACCAGTATTGCTGACGGTTGCTCAAATTTACAACTGTACTATGACTTTTCGGAATCCTCATTTTGGAATACGACGATACGGCATCATCATTAATAAACCCATACAACAAATAACAAACTATAGCAGTTATAAGGAAATAAAACAACTAGCGTATGTACTACCTATTTATGGCCTACAGGTTTAGACCATTGGTTAGCATTCGGGAGGACGCCGGTTCGATTCCCGATCCGTCCGCCTTGGTTCAAGTTTCTCTGTGGTTTTCTTGGATCACTTGGCAAATGCAAATATTACACAGATAATCTTTCATTCTCTTCTGTCTTTATTTCGTCCATCTCATCTTCCTCACCCGAACCATTCCCACGATTCCTGAAGGGAGGCTGAAGAGGGTCTTTCGCGCTACCTTCCGGCGTAGTCCGGTCGGGGCTGCCCGCCTACCAGCATTATTTGCTGGTGGGAATGAAACACCCAAAAATTTTTTTGTACTATCTACTTATAGTGGAACTTGGTTATAGCAATATCGGTTATGACAACCACCCTGATGTAACGACAGACCTTATTAGATACTCTCAATCAAACCAACTCCAAAAATCTGAAAACTGTTATGTTTGTTGAGGTCTATTACTACTACCATATGGTTTTCTTATAACGCCGTGCTGTACAATCTTCCGCTAATAACGACAGCCGGTTATTACGTCAAAATATCGCCAGTCCCTAGAGTGACGCTATAAACAAGTTCTATCTGTTATAGAAAAACAAAAGGGGTTCAGATTATAGATTTATTTACGCTAATGAATGCTATGCATACGTAAGTAATTAACAAAACCGCAAAAAATATTTAAAACAGCGAAACCCCGTGTTACAGATCGAATATGTTGTATCATTATTTTCTTTTGTAAAATTTGGTTTTCAAGTTGCATTCATTGATACAAATTAAGTTTTTCGAAAGTACTTAGTCTATAGGAATCACTGTTATGTTTCATCTGCAGGTTTAACTACGGAGATAGAAAACCCGATGGTATCGTAATTTGGGAGAGATCCTATATTGTATATAAAATTCTAGCAAAAGAATTCGTTAAAGATAAATCGTACGATTTAGATGATATGCTTAACAAGAAACTTATAAAAGATGCTTTTCCAATTCATCACGGCAAATGGGAATGGTCCGGAGGTGGTATTATTAATGACAGACAGGTAATATAATTAATGTCTAATTTAATAGTAGGATGCAACAATTTTAATCAGGAGATTGTGTCCTTCAATTCAAAATTTCGATCGAGGACCCTATCAGAATCTGTACAGTAAACCTTTTGGAAATGGCAGCCGCGGAAATTTCATGGTGTCAGAAGAAATACCCTTTCACTATTAAAAATTGTAGGAAAAGATTCATCATATCGGGTCATATTTAACCAATTAGTTTTGAAAAGGGATAAAGCGCACACATATATGACGGTTTAAGAAAATTTTTAAATGATGAGTTCATGATCTAAGCGCATCAGGGGGCTGTACGACGATATGTTTTGACAAAATTATAGGTCCTGCAATGGGAAGTAAGATGAAATGAATTTTTAAAAAATGAACCATAATTTTGATTTTTACGGTGATCCAGGTGACCTTGCCCTAACTTTATTCCAAACTATACGTGAAATCTATTGATACCATGAGATTCTTCGTACATTTTTACATATTATTAGTCAATTCGAACATCCAAGGTAATGTTTAAAGGGTAGAAAATTCACGAGCGCTTTTTAATATGAATTTACTACCGCACAACTTGGACTACTTTTATTCGGGATTTCACATGAAATCTATTACCACCATGAGATTTTACGTACATTTTTACACATTATTAGTCAATTAGAACATCCAAGATAATGTTTAAAGGGTAGAAAATTCACGAGCGCTTTTTAATATGAATTTACTACCGCACAACTTGGACTACTTTTATTCGGGATTTCACATGAAATCTATTACCACCATGAGATTTTACGTACATTTTTACACATTATTAGTCAATTAGAACATCCAAGATAATGTTTAAAGGGTAGAAAATTCACGAGCGCATTTTCATATCTAGCATTTTTATACAAATTTACTACCCCATAACTTGTACTAAGTGCCTTTATTTGGAACTGCACGTGAAATCTATTGACACCATGAGATTCTACGTACATTTTTACATATTACACTGGTCAACAGTGGTCATGCCACACAAACTCTGATGGGTGATCGTGTCTTGACTATCTACCCTCATTACGAAAACACACTTACTTTGTTTCAATCACCCTCAGTTTTCTTGTGATAAGGTTAAGTTCATTTTCGGTATTGTAGTGATAAACACATATGTACGGCTGTAAAAAGCGTGCTATATATATATCTGTTTTCGTTATTAATTTGATTGTGGTGGATTTAATAAACTTCTGTGCTTCTGCGAATATGCCGAGAAAGTGTATTAACGATTCTAACTCTTTCTGTTACATTTGTGGTGAACTGACTTTCAAAAACCAAAGGCGAAATTTTTCTGAATTAATTTTGAAGTGCTATCACGAGTATTTTGGTTTTGCGGTGGCTCATCAGGACAAAGCTTGGGCCCCACATATTTGTTGCATAACATGTGTAAAAAATTTAACTGATTGGAAGAAAGGATCACGTCATATGCCATTTGCTGTTCCCATGATATGGACTGAGCCTAGAGATCATGTTTTAGACTGCTATTTTTGTCTTACTCCAATAAAGGGCATAAATGCAAAGGCGAAACACACAGTTCGATACCCTGATTTATCATCAGCAACAAGACCTGTTCCTCATAATTATAATTTACCGATACCAGTTTCGTCTACATCGTTTAAGGTTGACGAATCACAACTCTCCACTTCAAGCCAATTGAGTAATGACAATGATGACGACTCAGAGTTTGAAGAAATTCAAGATAAGCCACATCTAATAACTCAAGGGGATCTAAATGACCTGGTTCGCGATTTGAATTTATCAAAAAAACAGTCAGAACTGTTAGGATCTCGTTTGAAAGGGTGGAATTTGTTACATCGAGAAACCAAAATAAGCCATTTTCGAAATCGTGATGAACATTTTAAAGGTTTTTTTTCTCAAGATGGAGACTTGGTTTACTGTCATGATATAAATTCAGTTATGAAAATTTTGGAAATAAAATTTGATCCCTCTCAGTGGCGTTTGTTTATCGACTCATCCAAGACGAGCTTAAAAGCAGTTCTACTCCATAACGGTAATGTACTTCCTTCTGTTCCTTTAGCACACGGTACTAATATGAAAGAAACTTATGAGATCATGAAACTATTACTTGAGAAAATCCAGTATAATACATATGGTTTTAAAATTTGCGGCGATTTAAAAGTTATTGCCTTACTACTTGGACTGCAGTTGGGTTATACTAAATTTTGCTGCTTTTTGTGCGAATGGGACAGTAGGGACAGAAAAAACCATTACAAGAAAAAGGTATGGCCTGTGCGTAACTCTTTAGTTCCTGGACAGAAAAATGTAAAGCATTTACCACTTGTAAAGCCTGCTGATGTGTTTCTTCCGCCACTCCATATCAAATTAGGCCTTATGAAAAATTTTGTAAAGGCGATGGATCGCAATGGAAACGGATTTTCGTATTTAAAAGAGAAATTTCCCAAAATAAGCGATGCTAAAGTCAAAGAGGGCATTTTCGTAGGACCTCAAATCAGGGAATTAATAAAAGATCCGAAATTTGTAGAAAAATTAAATGTTTTAGAAAAATCAGCTTGGCAATGCTTCAAGAACGTGGTTGCAAATTTTTTGGGTAACCATAAGAGTGAGAATCATAAAGAACTGATTAGAGAACTCCTATTGTCATATAAAGCTGTGGGTTGCAATATGTCGCTTAAAATTCATTTTCTCGACTCCCATCTGGATTTTTTCCCACAGAATTTAGGAGCCGTAAGTGATGAACATGGGGAAAGATTCCATCAGGACATTTCAAAGATGGAGAAGCGTTACCAAGGTAGATGGAGTCCAAGGATGTTGGCTGACTACTGCTGGACGATCAAAAGGGACCAACCGGAAGTCAAATATTCCAGAAAATCGTAACCTTTTTTTACAAACCACATAATTTATATATTTTTGCAGAACTATTTTATATTTTCCTTCTAATTCGTTTTTCTTCACCAAATAAAATTGATACGTGATTTAAATAAAATAACTGCGTTTTTTTATTTACAATACTTAATTCATGGTAGAAACACTAAAAAAGTTTGTGTGGCACAACGAAAGTTAAATTTTGTAAACCAGTGTTATTAGTCAATTAGAACATCCGAGATAATGTTTAAAGGGTAGAAAATTCACGAGCGCTTTTTCATATCTAGCATTTTTATGAATTTACTACCGCACAACTTGTACTACTTTTATTTGGAATTTCACATGAAATCTATTACCAGCATGAGATTTTACGTACATTTTTACACATTATTAGTCAATTAGAATATCCAAAATAATGTTTAAAGGGTATAAAATCCACGAGCGCTTTTTATATCTAGCATTTTTATACAAATTTACTATCCCATAACTTGTACTAAGTACCTTCATTTGGAACTGCACATGAAATCTATTACCAACATGAGATTCTACGTAAATTTTTACATATTATTAGTAAATGATAGAGTTGTTCGGAAAGACAGTTTTCGTATAATAAACAAATACTTTATCAAATTATATATTGACCGTTCTGGTCCAACACATTTTGCCATCTTTCTGGTAGTAGCATAATTCCACGCTCATAAAATTTTTGGTCTTTGCTGGCAAAAAACTGATCGAGGAGGTTTTTGACCTCCTCATTTGAGGTGAAGGTTTTACCGTCTAAAAAATTTTGGAGTGACCGGAACAAATAATAATCCGATGGTGCCAGGTCTGGAGAATATGGTGGGTGTAGCATTGTATCCCATTCAAGCTGTAAAAGCTTTTGGCGAGTGACCAAACTTGTGTGAGGTCTCGCGTTGTCTTGGTGAAACACTACACCTTTCCTGTTGATTAGTTCTGACCTTTTCTGTTGAAGTGCATCATTCAGTTTGTCCAGCTGATGACAGTAGACTTCCGAATTAATCGTTGTGTTATCCGGTAAAAGCTCAAAAAAAACGATTCCTTTAAAATCCCACCAAACAGACAGCATCACCTTTTTTTGGTGAATATCGGCTTTGGAAATGGTTTGAGCCGGTTCATCTTTTTTGCTCCATGACCTCTTGCGTTTGACGTTGTTGTATACAACCCATTTTTCGTCCCCAGTGATGATGCGCTTCAAAAACGGATCATTTTCGTGACGTTTGAGAAGCGAATCGCAGACGTCAATGCGGCGACACAGATTTCTCTCTGTGAGAACATGGGGAACCCATACATCGAGCTTCGAGGATAATCCCAGGCCTTTCAAGTGGTCATAAACTGTTGAATTTGATAAATTTAACCTCAATCCGATCTCACGTGTTGTTATTCGCCGGTTCACATCAACTAATGCCTTTATCGCGTCTTTATCAGCTTCAACCGGCCTTCCCGAACGTGGTGCATCTTCGACATCAAAATTGCCGGATCGAAATTTAGCGAACCAGTTCTGGCACTGGCGTACTGTCAACACACCTTCTCCATACACATCAGTCAATTTCTTTCTGGCTTGAACAGCATTTTTACCCTTTCTGTAGTAAAACAGTAAGATATGTCGAAAATGCTGCTTATCGCTCTCCATATTTAAAAGGGCACCAACCAAAAACTACTGCGTAGAATTAATTGGAATTTTTCACACACAAGCCTTGCTATATGAGCTCTCAAAGCATATAAAAATTATACGGCTTAAATGTGAAGTTGGGTGCAAAAGAATACAATTAAATCCTCTGTCGGGAAAAAACGAAATGACTTTCCGAACAACCCTATAGAATATCATAGATTAAATTTAAAGGGTGGAAAATTCATGAGCGTTGCCATTGTCAAACACTTTCAAAAACACCTTCAAAATGGATTTCCTTTATTTAAGGAAATGGTACTTATTTTTAGATAAGGTCGAAATTGGTAAACTGCCAAAGGAATCGTATTCGTGTCCAAGTCCGGTACGATCTTAACTTAATTATTTATTTGTAGCTCCTGGATAGAATTTATTCGAAGATTACATGCAGTTCAAAACAACCGGTGAACCTCATTTTCAAATATTACGGTCCTGAAGTTGCTTTCTATTTCGCATTTTATAATTTGTATATCAAAATGTTACGAATTGCTGGACTCGCTGGCTTAGTATGTACCCTAATTAGCATCCCTTACTGTTACATTATCGATTCTTCTTTATTGTAAGTTATAGAAAAGCAATCCAACTAATACGTATTTCATTTCGATACTGTTGATTTATGTCAGGAACGAAGTTTGTAATTCGCAAAGAATTATGTGTCCTCTCACTTGCGATATTCGCTCAAATTGTGAATATTTCAAAATGAAAGACAGATGTTTTGAGGCTTACGTTACAGTTCTTTCCGATAATTTACTTAATGTCATTTTTGCCATGTTTATGTCTATTTGGGGTAAGACGTATTACAAACATATCTAATTTATCCTAATTAGTAATAAATACTTTTTTTATATTTCAGCAACCGTCTTTTTGGCATTATGGAGAAGAAAACAATCTGAACTAATGATTAGGTGGATGAACTTCTACAGCTTCAATAATATTGTTTACAGGTAGAATAATGAAAGAATAAAATTCAGTCTATTGTATACTTCGTTTAGTTTCTGTAGCGATGTGACCTTCAGTTTGACCGGCGCAAAGTAGAAAAGAACAGCACTAGGCCAGAAAAGGAAGGAGACAACTCTCGGCCGGTGAGGAGCGTATAATCCGTACAGTACTGCACGGAAAAATTGACTATTTTATCCACTACAATTGCATTGCTCAAATGTGCTCTTATTGGTACCATTTACTACTGAAAATATCAACGAGAAGTTTATTTATATTTGAAGACATATTAAAGGCTTTAACGCTTGTTTTCGACTCGCACTACTATTCATGATTGAACAAAACTTTTGGCAGGTACTGTATGAAAAAGTATGTTTAATGAACAAGAGTCGAGAGTATAATGAGCTTTTTTCTCTCTACCTACGATTTTGCCAGCGCGCATCCAAGGCATTGGAAAGGGCACATCGCTAGAGAAAATAAATTAAGTATAAATTTGTTCTTCATCGAGGAAGGACAAATTTGTTAGAACTACAACTTCCCACATCCTTAACTACTTGTGAACAGTAATCTAATCTACACCTACCCCTCTTAACTAATGTTTAGGCTTGACATAATTCTCTCTAATTATCATTATCATCACAAGGTCGTCTGTTGGACACGCACCCCCACTCCATCCTATCCTGAGCTAATCTTCGCATTTCCCTAAAACTAGAACAACCCTTATCCTTAACTATTTGCGAACAGTAATCTAATCTAGGTCTACCTCTACCCCTCCTAACTCCTGTTTCTGCCTCTAATATGTCTCTGACAAGACCTTCATGCCTGAGAAGGTGTCTTACTAACCTATCTCGCCTATTTCTTATTGACTTCCATAGAGTCCTCTGTTCTCTTACTCTTTCTAATACCTCTTCATTTCTAACCTTCTCTGTCTACGCTATCCTCATTATTCGCCTGTAACCCTGTGCTATCCTCTGTTTTATATCCGTAATACTCCTTCCGTCTTGACTATCTGACTTCCCAGATATCTAAAATCGACCACTTCTTTTAATTATAGAAAGGAATATATGAAGCAAACTAAAAATCGAAGAATATGGCATTATACGGGAGAATGGGAACCTTACACTCCATTGGCATCTTTATTTGCACGTTATGGGCTTGTTGGAGTTGTTTTTATTGCTGTGGTATCGATGACGAATGATTTATTACAAAACTTTATATATACATATGAAGGACCTTAATCTATTTTTCTAGGTAATGTTATTCTTTGGTACCCTTATTGCCAATATGTACATTAGATTAGCAATACAAAACGCAAAATTCGAACGCATGCCTCAGACAGTCGGATTCTTGATGATTTTTGTAACCGCTGTGATTTCTGCAACACTTATGATAATTTATGACGTTGTAAGGTTCTTAATAGACTGCTGCTGCTTCAGGATAATAAATGAAAATAATAATTTATTTTAGTTGTGCAAAAAAGCTGCAGACTTTATGACTTGGGTCGAGAGGCCGAGAACTAAACAAGAATATGACAAATCGTTTATCACAAAGACGTATGTTCTGGAATTTGTAAATAATTACCTACCCCTCTTGTACATTGGATTTATTCAGGTAAATACACAGGTTCTAAAGCACTAAAGGAAAGCTCTTGTTATCCAAAAGTAATAAAAATTTGAATCTTGAATCGCCTCGGTATTATCTTATTTCTTACAAGTCTTTATTCGAGATTTTGATCTCGTCTTTCTATCAATATTTTAAGTGTTAATAATATGTTTTCTTTCTGGATCGCCGGTAGCCCTATCTCGAGAACGGGTGTTACGTTTACTTACTTTGGATTAATGTTCGCGTTTTCGTTTTTTGCGATAATACACTAAAGATAACCGGTTTCGTTTGTCCGAGATTCGACTATCCGGCTCGAAGGACCAAAGAAAAATTCGCGCGCGCACCCTCTAAAGCACATCTGTTGCAATCCTAATTTTGATAAGATAATTTTCTCAATTAACTTGTTCATCTTGAGCAAGAGCAATCATGACTTCTTCTTGTTGATATTGTTTCACAACAGTTTTCGTGACGAGACTGAATAAGATCGATATATTCTTATTGTTAATGTTTGTGTGTTTTAGGGACGAATTTTCGTACGTCCAGGAACTCCTACAAAGTATACAATTATAAGAAGAATGGAAGGACAAGCCTGTTTTGCATCAGGATGTGTAATGAAACTATGCGTACAATTGGCGATTCAACTGATTGTAAAATCGTTCATAAAACTTATTATAAATTTGGTAATAATGTAAGTAACTTCTAAGTATTTTAAACTGTTAAAACTTAACAGTGAATATTTAGAGGGCACAGAGGAGTATGTGCCCATTTCTGCTTTTTAAAGACAGGAAAACATTAGTTTTCTGTTAATTTGATACTACAAGGATAAAAAATAAAGGCCAAATTTAAAAACATGAATTATATAAGCATTTCGTTTTGACTGAATACTATTACGTACAATGTCATTGTGAGTCCGTTTTCTGGTCACATATTCGCAGAGTCCTAGTGAGTTATGTAAAGTTGTAAGAGTAAGCATTAAAATTCGAGAAAATGGCGCATTTTTCATTGTGTCTTTTTCTGTAATACATTTTAGGGTTCCGTATTTTAATTTTACTAAATTTCAGGCTCTTTCAAGAACGCAGGAGGCGAAAAAAATTAAATATTCCAGTTGGGCAATACGAAGACGATTACACTTTAAAAAAAATGATAAGACACCATTTGCTACCAGGGTACATGTCAATAGGTAAATTTTTAACAAATCATAAGAATTTAGTTAAGATAACAAGGTGGCAATCTTCCAAATCGGTTGGAGGCGCTACTTAACGTTTCGCTAACATGAGTGGCGAACTTCTTCAGAAGTCCTTCCATCTCTGATGTTAAACGCGGATCTCTGAAGAAGCTACGGATAGCGTTAGTTCGTGATAATCTCTCATTCTAATTGTTCCAGCTTTGCAATATGGTTATGCAACATTCTTTGTAACAGTCTTTCCCTTGGCGCCCTTTTTGGCATATCTATTTAACCTGGTGGACATCAAGTTGCAAGCGCGCAAACGAATTAGATATTTAAGAAGACCAATACCTAGAAGGACTGTCGGAATAGAAACATGGAATGAAATTTTCACGGCTGTCACTCTACTAGCAACAGTTCTTAACGTAAGGAAATTTTATTATTAACATTGTCATTTTGGAACAGTTGAAACTGTATCTAAAGCAAGATGTGGACTAATTGAAAGAGAAATAAGATTAGTGAGGATGTAGTGAAGTGGTCAACAATATGGCGGACTTTGGCCGCCATTTTGTAAGAGTCACAAAATGTTTCTTTGCACAATATATTATTAATTGATATGTTAGTAAATAGTGTAATAATTAATCTTACAACTTCTACGATTTGTATATGCAGTTTGTGTTCCAGGCATTAACAATTGCATTTACATCAGATTTTGTGTCGAAAACATATTACAGAATTTCTCACAAGAACAATTTAGAGGGATACCTCGATTCAACACTAACTGGTAAGTAAAAATGATATTTTATCTAATTGTAATGTATTGTAGCGAGCACGAGTGTGTTTGTGTGCGGTCGAGGACACGTGTGCGTGAACGGCTTATCGATTCGCCGATTAGCCGCGGGCGCTTTTCTTCATGTGCGCCGTATTTGTAAATGTGTGTGTCGTACCTGCGTTCTAGGAAAGCAGTTAAACAGTTCAAACAAAAAATTAACTATCCGGATGTTTCCAGAAGGTTCCAGAAAGTAAACAAAAGAGTATTTAAAGGAAGAGACGATCGCCGAGAGGCAAGTAGAAATAAATTGACCGTTGCAGAAGTGAATTCAGAAATAAATTGATAGCAGTGAAATAAATAGTGCAGTGAATAGTGATATATCAACAATAGTGTAAATAAATAGAATAATTCGTAACTTAAGTTTAGTAATAATTTAATAGTTCCTTTAAGTTCTTTAATAATTAGTGTAAAGAAATAGTTCTTGTCGTTATCAGTTTTAGAAGTTAATTTTGTTAAACCCACGAACATTACAGTATAATTTAACAAATAATCTTATAATTTCAAACAGAATTTGATACAAACGATTTCTCCATGAAATCGCCGTCCATGATTGAGGAAGATGTTGAAACTTGTTGGATAAAAGCTCGTCGTTATCATTATCATCAAGAAGACAAATACGCTTACAGTAAGGCACATTGGAAAGATGTTGCTCTTCGATTTTCTTTTGTAATTGTATTCGAAGTAAGTCACTCATTGGTTTGTTTTCAATTGTTCTTTATATTCGCGGACATTGTTTTTAATAATTGTTGACGGCTTTTCAGCCTAATAAATGTTGTATGTACTCTTTTGTCTAAAATATATGTCAACCAACGACTGATGGCGCCTCATCATCTTCATAAGGTCGTTAGTCCTAAAACACGCACCTCCACTCTTTCCCATCCTAAGCTAATCTTCGCGTTTCCCTAAAACTATTAGAAGATCCCACATATTACTAGAATGTTATCTTTGTCCTGGTAAACTTATTAACGGTTTCAAACTGAAGAAATAGAGTTATATCGTCATAGGTGAGGTTAGGTTCATTATTTTGGCATACAATCCAGTAATTTATCGAAAGTATTCGGATTCTTCGTCAGTTGACGAGTTTTAAATTTCAAAAGATCAAATCTACCTGAATTTAACATTTTAGAGGTATTGACTATATGTGGAACAATGGGCCTTATGATAAGTATTGTAGTTTAAAACATTTACTTTTTCCTATTCGTATTTCCCTAAAACTAGAACATCCCACATCCTTAACTATTTGCGAACAGTAATCTAATCTAGGTCTACCTCTACCCCTCCCGTTTCTCCCGATTATACCTTCATACCTGAGAAGGTGTCGTAACAATCTATCTCGCCTATTTTTTATTGACTTCCATAGAGTCCTCTGTTCTCTTATTCTTTCTAATACCTCATCTTCATTTCTAATCTTTTCTATCCACGTTATCCTCATCATTCGCCTATAACACCACATTTCGAACTCTTCTAATGTTTCGCACTCGTACAGCGCCGCGCTCCAAACATACGAGGGTGGATTGATAAGTTTCCGGCCTGACCAAGAAAAACAAGGTTTTTAAAAATTTTTTTTTTTTATTTCTCAACATAATCTCCTCCAAGGCTGATACATTTCTCATAGCGGTGTTCCAGTCTATTAATGCCATCTCTATAGACTGATTCGTCAAGCTCCTCAAAATAACCATTTACAGCTTCGATTACTTCTTCATTGTCCGCAAATCTCTTACCGCCAAGCCATTTTTTGAGATTAGGGAACAGAAAATAGTCACTCGGGGCTAGGTCTGGAGAGTAAGGAGGGTGCGGCATCAATTCAAACTTTAGATCGTTGATTTTAGCCGTCGCAACGATTGACGTGTGCGCTGGTGCGTTATCGTGATGAAACAAGATTTTTTTCTTCGCCAGATGAGGTCGTTTAATTTTCACCTCGTGGCTCAAACGTTGCAATAAGTCTGCGTAGTATTGACCAGTGATAGTATTACCCTTTGCAAGGTAATCAATGTATATAATACCTCTTGCATCCCAAAAAACAGTAGCCATAACCTTGTTCGCCGAAAAAATTGTTTTTGCCTTCTTTGGAGTTGGTTCCCCTGGTCCAATCCACTGTTTAGACTGTTCTTTGGTTTCAGGAGTGTAGTGGTGGACCCACGTTTCGTCAACGGTTACGAATCGACGCAAAAATTCGCTTGGATTACGCTTATACAATGACAAATTTGCGGTAGAAATGTTTTTTCGAATCAATTTTTGGTCGACTGTTAGCAAACGCGGCACCCATCTTGCACAGAGCTTTTCCATATGCAAATGTTGGTGCAAAATATGTTGCACACGTTCATATGACATCTTACAGGTCTCAGCTATCTCACGCACTTTCAATCTGCGGTCTCCCAGCACTATTTGATGAATTTTTTCGATCATATCTGGAGTTGTGACCTCAACGGGGCGTCCTGAGCGAGGCCCATCAGAGGTGCTCACACGACCCTTTTTAAACTCGGAAACCCACTGCTTAACGGTTGAATATGACGGGGAGGATGTCCCCAGTGTTGAGTCCATCTCTTTTTTAATTTCCTTCGGCGTTAACCCCTTCAAATAAAAGTATTTGATGACAGCACGATTTTCCTGCTTTTCCATTTTTACGAAAACCACAGAGGCGTCTTGTTCAGCGTGCTGTCAAACCTACACTAGCAAGGAGATCGGGCTGAAACTATAGCTACAAGCTATCCAAGGATGGTACTATAGAATGTCACCTCAAGGTAGGCCTAGTGGCGTCATCTCTTGGTTAGGCCGGAAACTTATCAATCCACCCTCGTACACCTTTAACAACCATTTTCGAATTTCTAAATTAACCATTCGTGAGCATAGAAGTGACTTCTTTTTATTGAAGTCGACTCGACCCTGCGCTATCCTCTACTTTATATCCCTACTAGGGGCCGTTCAAGTATTACGTAAGCACTATAGGGGGGTGGGGGGTCTTTGTTTTGCTTATTTTGGATGACATGGGGGGTAGGGGAGTCTAGATGATGATTACGTCATCGGTAGTTATTTACTTTTTTACACAAATGGCAACCCTCACATTGTCTATGCTTGAAAACGAAACGCATTTTTAAAAATTCCCGCAAATAATGCATACGTTTAGGCACTCGCTTTAGAACCGATTAGGGGAATTACCGCGCGCTATTCACTTGTCTAAATTTTCTCCGTTAGTGTATTGTTTTGTTTGGATACTATAGCGAGTAGACGTATTGTAAGCATAGCAAAGCAAGTTAACATTTGTGTTACCGTTGATTCCATTAGCCAAAGTTTAACGTTTAAATAAGATGTCGTTTCAAATAGACAAATCCAAGTTATACCAAAAATTGTTTCAAAGTTTTAAAAAATCTCATGCAAGTACGAAAGTACAAAATGTACAAAAGTTAGTTAACGAAGTGTGGCGAAATTATAAATTACAAGCAAAGTCCGACAAGGAACTAGATATTATTGTATCTAAGAGAATTGAAGAAGAATTGCAAGCGGCGACTAAGAATAAATCCAATCTACTACATTTTTTTTCCAAGGTGAGTTACGAAATCATTTTAGGTACCTATAAGTACTAGAAATATTAGAAAATTGTATAACAATAATTTAGACGTTTTATGATTAGAAAATATTATGGCCTATCGCAAAGTATAGAGGTAATATTCATTATATAGATTTATTTCTTAAGATTGACTCCGTCAATTGGCCACAAAATACAGTGTGTTAGTTTTCTCTATGTGATGGGTTCGATTCCTGGCTTTAAAGATTATGGATTCGGGTTTCATGGACTGAAGACTGTTAATTTGAATTTAATATGTGTACCAAAAATTTAAAATAAGTTTGTTATGTTCGTAAGATTATAATATTTTTGTCCCTTACTCTATGTTGAATACTGTATCAGTAAAATCTAATCTTTATCCTAAATCTATTTTCTTATTTTTAAAATTCTAATTATAACATTATAATTACAATATAAAAAAAATACATTTATAATTGAAAAATGTTTACGTAAGCATGGGAGGAGGGGGTAAGAGCTTTGCTTACTTTTGCTGACAAGGGGGATGGGGGGGTAAATGATTGTAATAAATCTGCTTACGTAATATTTGAACGGCCCCCTACTCCTTCCGTCCCGACTTATCGACTTCCTAGATACACAAAATCAACCACTTCTTCTAATTTTTCGTCTCTTATCTTTACATTCGTTCTTTCCCTACTTTTTCTTCCCTAGCATTTCAATCTTTTTTAGATTTATTTATTTTCATAAAGCTATTAGGAAATCTTTTATAAGTATTTTGTTTACAGCATTTACTTTTAATATTTACTGGTACTCTGGGGGACGCAATACCGTCAATTCCGTATAATATAAAGAAAGAAGTAGCACATGAAGAACATGGAGAGATAAACCGTAAAACGAAACTTACTAAAACTCAAATGAAAAAGAATAAAGACGTTTATACAATAATCAAACCTAAAAATACTGTTACCGAAGTAAACGAAATTGTTTGATGGGTTAACTTTCCTAAGATGACGATTGTTGATATTTTTATGCGTTAATGTTTTGTTGTATATCAAACACATAAATATAATAAACATTTATATATCTATTTGTATTACCTCTCTGACAATGTAAATTTTCTTTTATTTTCTTAAATAACTTTAAAACTATTTACTTTAAAATAATAATAAAAAATATATATTTGAGACCCTTACAACAAGCCCTTTCATTTGCTATGCCACACGGCATAGTTTGCAAAACTTTTTATTTTTAATTTCTTATTGACCCCCCGAAAAATGATCCCCATGTTCAAAATTAATTTATTTACGTTTTGCTTCTGTGTTCGGGTCTCAGAAATTCATATATGTACTAAATTTCAACTTAATCGCTCCAGCAGGTTCGGAGAAAATTGACAGACGGACAGACAGACATACACACACCAGTGATTCTATAAAGGTTTCGCTTTTCATTCGGGCGTACGGAACCCCAAAGCTGTGTCCACATATTTCGCAATACTTTCGATAATTTTGTTTATATAGTACGTAGTACATACAGTACTAGTAAGTGTTAATTTTTTATCCTTTTTGTACAAACAAATTCGTACAAAGGCCCAACTTTGAGTTTTTTTTTAATAATTAGTGGTAATTTTACAGATAAAGACTTTACATTCGTTGACGATAGTTGTAAACTATCGATTTTATAGACATTTTTGAAGATACACTTCGCTTATTTATTAAAAGAATTTACGTATTGAAAATTTTGGTGAAGGCGCCGGGGCAATTTAAAATAAAAGCTTTAATTGAACTATAATTCTAGTTTCGATGAGATAGATTGATGAATTATCATCTTCCAATTATATTAGCATTATGTAGATGTAGTTAGGAATGCTAATTTATACGTTTCTGTTCACAATAAATTAAACCACAATTTTTAATGTAATACGTAGACAACCAAAATGCAGCAAACTCTAGAACTGTACGAAAAGAAGACTAGAAAACGATTTCACTCATAGAAATAACTTTTGAACGTGAAATTTAATACTAATATGGAACAAATCACATATTATTACGTAGAAATATTTAATTGATTAATAATATATTTAAAAATGTCTTGTAAAATTTGGATCAAAACTATTCTAGGTATTGAAATTTAATACTAATCTCGAACAAATCACATAATATTACGTAAAAATATTTCATTGATTGATAATATATTTAAAGATGTGTTGTAAAATTTGGATCAAAACTATTCTAGGTATTGAAATTTAATACTAATCTGGAACACATCACATAATATTACGTAAAAATATTTAATTGATTAATAATATATTTGGATCAAAACTATTGTAGGTAATTTTCTATTTGTAGCTGCTAAGAAAGTGGGCATTTAGTTGTTAATATGAGTAGACATTTCATTAATATTTTTACGAACTAAATTCTTATGCCGAAAATAAAGAAACATTAGCAACAATTATTAAAAGATTAAATAGAAAATTTTGGTGAAGGCGCCGGGAATTTAAAATAAAAATAATTGAGCTACAATTTCGATTTCAATGATGTAGCTTTATCAATTTTCATCTTTAAATTAAATTTAATACACGTATAATACACCCTTTTATATTAAATAAGATTTCGAATGGGTAGTTATTCTAATATCTACTTTTATGGTAGGTACTATTGGGTAATTCACATAAAGGGGGTGCAACATGAGTGGTGTATTGGACAAAATGCTTTCGTATGTAAGTCCTATTGTGGATCCTTTAAAACAATATAACAGAAAAAAAATCAAATTAATATTAACCTTTTAATTAACCAAAGAAAAGTTAAACCGGAATACAGTGTTAATCATTTGTTTTACATCTTTTTATATTTAACATTTGATCCAACTTGGTGAAAGCTTACCGACTTTTTTAGTTTGAAAAAATTAACTATTGATAGATTGAGCTTTACTTTTCCAAGTTTCAGGACCTTCTTCTTTGATTTGGAAACTACAGCGTCATCGGAGTATGTTCTAGGAGGGTAGAAATTTTCCTCTTCTTCGATAATTTCCTCAATGGGTTCTTCTTTTGAAAACTTGTCAAAATTCAAACGATATCGTAGAAAATCTTTTGATTTATTCTGATTTACTGAAAGTGTGTCACAAACTTTCTCATTATTTTTGAATTGGGGCGAATACGTCCACCCAATAGATTGTATTTTATCCAATATTTCATTTTTCGATGGTTCTTCTTTTGTCAATGGATTAAATGTTTGGAGATCAGGATAAAGCCTTTTTGGACTAGACTGCGTTTGGACATTTTCGCAAAAACCGGGGTAATTGTTCGTCAGGTTTTCGTCAATCAAAGCAGGGATTGAAGACATTATTGAATCGTCTGCAATTGAACTATTTTCGTTGGATTGCGAATGAAAACTGGTAAGACTCGAGCTGTACGGTTGTAAATTTTCGAAAATTGTTTCGGTCTTCTTTATTCCAGTATCAATTTGTGGCAATCTCCATCCAGGGAAAAATGAGCCGCTTAGAGCTGTATAAAATTTGCTTCCATCACAAAAGCTTCTCGTCTCATGTCCTTCGTTAACAAAATCGTCCACGTCTGTTTGAGAGAAGTCGTCGATTAAACCTGCTTGCAGTTCATTTTCATCATTAAATTTTCTTCCATTTTCACAACACCAACAGCACCCCCTTATTCTTAAAGATTTATCGTTATAAGGTTCTGTTTGGCAACCAAAATCCTTTAGGTAGTCGTTTTGGAAATTTTTTAATGATGCCAATTCGGAAAACTCAGAATCAAAGTCGCAGAGACAAACATCAGTCTGGGAGCTAATGGAGTTTCTAGTTCTAATCTTGTTGAAAGTCAACGGTTTTCTGTCCAAATTTACAATTGTAAAGTCGTTTGTTTCATTACGCGGTTTACGACGTTCAAAAAATAACACTTTCGTTTTTATGCTCGACGTTTTGGTTTGCAAAAACATGTGACAAGTCGAATTGTGTGTCACAAATTCTGTGCTAATTTCACTCCATTTCGTTATAATGAAAATTACAACAAAATAGTAACGTTTTTCGGTCTACAAAGACAATGAGAATCAGGGGAAGAAACCAGTTTTGTAAATTAATATATTCCAATCATTAATAATTGTGTGGTAGCGTGTGCAACAATTAATTTTATTAAACAATGTACTTTACCAAATGTAAACTAAGTATGTAGTACCAAAAGTTGTTCAATTAAATCAAAATAAATTAAATTGTTCAATAAAAGCAAATTGCCATAATATCAAGTTATTTATTGGCTGTATGTCGCCACCTATTGATATTTACTGCAAGTTACAGTAATTTATGTTTTACAAGTACAAGAGTTAATTTGGATCATACAAATTTCTCAGTTGTTTTCGATTTGAAATAACTAGCACGAGTCCTTACCCTGTGGTCAAAATTGGACATCTTTTGAAACAAATATCTAGCAAAATATCTAGATAAAGTAAGAGCGGTTCCCTTGTTAAATCTTTTTGCTACTGGATAAGTTTCCGACAGTAGGGAAAGTTGTCGAAGGAAATCGAAGAGGTAGAAGCTCATAATCTGGTTGTATTCAGGTAAAGTCATCATTGTTCTACAAAAGGTGTAAATAATTTTTAACTTGTGGGCTCCGTGGTATTATTTGTATGTCTTTCCTATTTTTTTTTAAGAATGTAGTAATACCGTTACAAGTTTGAATAATAGTCAAGAGCATTGAACATTGTTCTCAGTAGTTTTGGGTGTAAAATGAAAGAAATTTAATTGTCCCAATTCCCGAATTTTTCTGTCCAAGACAAGTGCATAATATGATAAAGGTCTTACTGTGATATTTGTTGTACTAATTCTTTTGACGTATAAGCAGAAAATGATTTAGTTTCAAGCCAAGTTTTGCACATATCGGATAATTTTATCCAATAATCCTTTCTCTCTCTATACATTAAGGGTTTCGGTAACATAGCAAGGAAATGTCGTATTACCCAGAGATATGTTCCTGCGGGAATTCTTAGACGACGTATGGGACATCCCAACGTTATCCTTTCTTTTAATAGTAGCCTGTCAGGCGAACTGCCTTCCTGACACCTTGAATTCAAAATAATTTGTACAAATGCCTATACATTCAATATAAGGATTTTGAAGGAATTTTTTTTGAGAATCATAGGGGGAAACAAAGAAATCAACAAAGACATAAGAGGAAAAAAGAAAATGGCTACAATGAAAAGATGAAAAAGTGTGATTGAAATAAAAAATGAAATTACAGTCGAACTCGGTTATAACGAGTACGAAGGAGGTAAGAATTTTGAACTTTATAGTCAGGTGTTCGTTATTTTTAGGGTTCCGTACGACCGAGTGATAAAATGGAGTCCTTAATAAGAGATCACTGGTGTATCTGTCTGTTACAGTCAATTGGCTCAGAATCTACTAGACCAATTTAGTTGAAACTTAGTACACATATGAATTTCTGTGACCCAAACGCGAACGCATAACGTAAATAAATTAATTTTGAACATAGTGGTAGTTTTTCGGGGTACCAATAAGAAATTAAAAAAAGAAGTTTTACAAACTGTACCGAGTGAAATATCAAATGGAAGGGTTTATTGTAAGGGTCTCAAATATATTATTTTTATAATTTAAAAATAAATAGTTTTAAAGTTATTTAAGAAAATAGATGACAATTGACCATTCCGCCCTCCTTATCTCCAAAACTACTGAAGCTAAAATTCTGTTAATTTATAGACTACAGGAATTTGCAGTTTGAATTTATGGGAGAACATGTTTTTTTTTTTTCGATCTACAATGTTAAATTCAATGTAATATGAAGTCAAAGAATCTCAGTACCACAAAAATTTAGAAAATCACATGTAAGAAATGCTGTAAAAAAAGTTTTCTAAATAACGGGCCTAGATATATAAGTAGTTACATTGCGCAAATGAAAACTTACAATTTCCTCATTAAAAGCTTTAAACGTTCAACAAAATCTCTTAAATAAAAACACAGACGTTTAATTTCCTAAAAGAACTCCGTTTTCTTTCTTCCGCGTAGAATTGTGGACTGTGCTTATCTAAATTAATTGCTATAAGTTCGTTCGAAATATTAATTATACAAATAACATAAACCGGCTGAATGCACTTTTAAACAATAAAAATACATATACGTACGTTCTTACTTGACCACTTGCAAGCAAATTCTTCGAACCCTTCGATTAAAATTATATAAAAAACAATAATTTTAACCGCATACATAAAACGTTTACGAGTTAATTGATATTGAGAAACGTATTGTTCGTTGTTTACCATGTGTGGGTAGATGTACTGATTTAATTCTTGCTATAATTATTGTTAATTCAAACGTATACAGCTCGTTAGGTAACATTGGACATGCGTATACACCTGAGTGAAATATGAAAATGTTAACATACTATTGGACATGGCACCCACCATTGAATGTCCAGATAGAAAGCAAAATTCATATTATCTGATAATTTATTAAAAAGTAATAGTGAACCCGCTCAAACTTGGACAGATGGATATCGTTGTAAATGGAGCATAGCATTTACATTTTAATCAAGACAACCACCTGTACCTTAGCCCAGCCTAAACCCGTCCAGCATAGCGTATCACACTATCCAGTCAGGAAGCCCTTATCCCCATAATCTAACTGAAGTCCATAGATCATAGCACTTTTCACAAGCCAATCAGACCCACACATTAACATTTAAACATGCTCAATACGTCAAAACATTGGCGAATTTTAATTAAAAATCACATTAAACGAGGACATCCTGGATATTGAACGTAAGCTATTTAACAGGTTGTATTCTTTTACAAGATATTTTACGTGTCAGCTATCGTAATCATTCCAGAATAGATGTAGACCTAGATTAGGTTACTGTTGGCAAGGATGTGGGATGTTCTAGTTTTAGGGAAATGCGAAGATTAGCTCAGGATAGGAAAGAGTGGAGGTGCGTGTCCAACAAGTCTTAGGACTGACGACCTTACGATGATGATATCAAAATCTTCTTAGAAAATGTTTAAGAAAACGTGCCAAATGGCATTTGAATGCTTCACACATTGAAATGCATACTTAATAATGTATGATAGGAAAAGGCAATACGGACCAAGTGAGTGTTGTCGTGATCATATTCTCTTATTTCACAGTGGTCCAGTTGGCCACTTTTCGGTGTCCATTTGAGCTATTTTTTATTGTTGTATGTGTGTATAAATACCTACTAATTCTCAGGATCTTCGTTCGTTGCTCAATTGGGAGCATATACAAAGACCACGCATATTCGGTAGCCAATTGAGTTATGCCCCTCGATATAAGACATTTATCTTAGTTTCGCAAACATAACACTCTACTCCATCATCGTATATTAAAATTTATCAGTAATAAAAGCAGACAAAATAAGAAACAGCTTATACTGTAATGTTTCTTGCAAATAATATGTATGCCTAGCTATTTTTTGCAAATGACAAATTGTAGCTATTTTTTATAATTTTAAAGTTTTGAAAAGAAATTTCGGATTTTGCTGTACGGTATTGTAATTTACTGAAGACATTTATACATTTTCCAAAACACGTATTTTATGAAAGTGTTGAACTGAAGTACAATTAACAGTGAAAAGTAAACGCCTTGCATATCCACAGAAGTTCTTTTGGAGGCTTCTAAGACAGTGGGATTGTAAGCAATAGGTTTATATGCACATCTGTATTTGTTTGTAGTGTATTGATTGTCATGTTGTAAGGGATATTATCAAACTAATTGCTGAACTGAAATACAATTATGAGGAAGTAAATATTATTAAGCTATAGCTTACTTGGCTTATAAGTTAATATGGATTTGCATATACTATTTTGATTGCTACAATAAATTGTTTTCTAATAGAATTCATGTTTGTTTTTCCTTGTAATGGATACTTTTAAGAATGCTTTTTTGAATAGTTTTTTGTAAAAGTCATTCTATACTTGGGTTTTTTCTTATGTTAAAACAACCATTAAAATTATTACCTATACTATAACCGATAAGTGCAGTAGAATCCGCGGTAAAGGTTCAGATGATGACCCCCACCCCCGAAGGGGGTGAGACCGCCACGAACTTTTTATGGTACAGTGGTAGGGGAGACCACCTCTTTCGATCCCACCCAGCCCCAAAGGGGGATGGGGGGCCATCATCTAGGCATTTACCGAATCCGCTTATAATGACATAGAAGGGAAATGACAAACGCGTCATACTAACCAGGCGTCATACAAAGCAGAGTCTTAGAAAATAAACAACTTTCTATTTTGGTTAGTTATTTAGTTTAATAGAGAGAAAAGCTACAAATTGTATATATTTATTAACAGAAAAAGACAAAGAACGAGGAATTGTAACATCAATATACATGAAAAGGGTCAGAAAAATGAGCGAAAGTGTTATTATTAATCATTTGGGTCACTATAGCCGAATATGATTTCTTGAGAATCAGACATAATAAACGATATGGCATTTTAAACGGAGTCATTATATCCTAACTTTCCTATAGAGGATTTAAAATGAAAACCAAACTTAACACTGCAATTACTTCATTTCATTTTAAGCGGCTGGTCAATATAGGCGGAGTCATAATAAACGAATTCCACTGTAGTATTAAATGAAATAACTTTTTATTTAAGTTTAAGAAAAAAGGTCTTCAAATACAATTAGCAGGTACAAAATACAAGAAACCAAAAGTACGAAATATAAAAAAATAATGCAGGACAAATAGAAAATGGCATTTTCCAAACAGAATCTGTTTGTACGTTATTAGAATAGAGGTACGTGATTTTCCGCTGTTTGGCAAAGTTGGTATAATAGAGCAGGCGTTGCTTTAAGACGATAACCTACTTTATTCATCCGTGTCTACATTTTAATAAAAGGCAGAGAAAAATAACTTNGAAATTGGTGTTGTCATCGTGTGCTGCCATCTATCAAACCACGCCAAAACGAATTTCAGACTGATTGATAGGTTAGTTTGGATTTGGCAGCCATTCGACTGAGACGTGTTTCGTTATTTTCGCTAAGATGGAAAAAGAGCAGTATCGTTCGGTAACTCGCTTTTTGTTTTTGGATGGGAAGAAATGCGAGGAGATGAAAACAAAGTTGGATACTGTTTATGGAGACATTTCCCCATCTACAACCACAGTTGGATATTGCTTCAACGAATTTAAACGTGGGCAAAGATCCGTTTTTGATAGGAGCGACCAGGAAGCCTGGCAAACGTTGTTACCGAGGAAATCATTTCACCGATTTTTTAGGAAAAGGAAGAACGATTACTGGACAATACTACAGTGAGTTATTGGACCGTTTCGACAAAAAATTGAAGAAGATACGGACGCATTTGAGGAAAAAGAAGGTGCGTTTTCAACAAGATAACGCATCGGCACATTCATCAGGAGTTGTTGCAGCCAAAATGCATGAATTACGTTATGAATTTGCTGTCCCACACCCCGATTTGACTCCCTGTGACTTCATCTTGTTCCCTACCATAAAGAAATGACTAGTGAGAAAGAAATTTAGCTCAAACGAGGAAGTCATCGCCGAGACAGGGGGGGATTTTGGAGAGTTCGACAAATCTTATTTTTTGGAGGGGTAAAAAAAATGGCAGGGTCGTTGGGAGAAGTGTATCTTTCTAAAAGGGGACTATGTTGAAAAATAAAAAAACAAATTTTTAAAAAAAAAGGTGTCTTCATTTCTAACATGGGTACTTATTGAACCGCCCTCGTATATGGTGTGCACAATGCATACACAGCGCACTTGTATGCGTATAGGCGCTGGTTGTTAGAACGTTGTGCTCGGGCAACTTTGCCATTCTTTCTCCCGGAAACGGTAATTTCGGCAGCTTGTGGCCAAGTTTACACAAATCGCTAGTCATCAGCGTGTTTGTCTCCATTGTTGTGCCAAGACTTAGTCGCGAAGCAATGGTTGTCTTTAGTATATAGACAATTCAGTTACATATGAAGATACCCTTTATGTTTGCATACGTTTCATTTTACTAAAATTTGGGTTTATTTATACCTTGAATAGTCATTGACTACACGAAAAAGTGAGGAAATAGCAAAGGAAAATAAATTTCCTTTTCTCTTTTNATATTGCTTCAACGAATTTAAACGTGGGCAAAGATCCGTTTTTGATAGGAGCGACCAGGAAGCCTGGCAAACGTTGTTACCGAGGAAATCATTTTACGGATTTTTTAGGAAAAGGAAGAACGATCACTGGACAATACTACAGTGAGTTATTGGACCGCTTCGACAAAAAATTGAAGGACACGGACGCATTTGACGAAAAAGAAGATGCGTTTTCAACACGATAACGCACCGGCACATTCATCAGGAGTTGTTGCCGCCAAAATGCATGAATTACGTTATGAATTTGCTGCCGCACACCCCGTAGTCTCTCGATTTGACTCCCTACGACTTCATCTTGTTCCCTACCATGAAGAAATGACTAGCGAGAAAGAAGTTTAGCTCAAACGAGGAAGTCATCGTCGAGACAGGGGGGGATTTTGGAGAGTTCGACAAATCTTATTTTTTGGAGGGGTAAAAAAAATGGCAGGGTCGTTGGGAGAAGTGTATCTTTCTGAAAGGGGACTATGTTGAAAAATAAAAAAACAAATTTAAAAAAAAAAGGTGTCTGCATGTCTAACACTGGTACTTATTGAACCGCCCTCGTAATCTTAACTAAAAGAGCATCGCGTTTATAGTTATACCTACCTTAGACTTTTAATGAAGAACATATAGAAATTGGAAAGGAAAGCATTTCTATTGCGTTTTAATTAATGTAAATATCACGGTAAGACGAGGGTCATGAAACATCATAGGTGTTTGACATCACCACATATAAAAGTAAACCTTATTTTCTAAAAAAAAAAAAGTTTGGTAGGTACTATATTTAATATGTTCTCGTTCTTTCTTTAATCAAAACGTAAATCAATTTGTCATTAAAATGTCATTTATTATTGTTACGCTTCAATACAAAATGTTTTGAAACCGTTTCAAAAAGTGGAAAGTTGAATAAATAATAAATTCCATTATCCCACCACTTTGCTAATGAACGCTTGCATTTGTTCTGATTGTTAAAATAATTTTTAATCGAACACAACCTATCCCGTAGAAAGGTAAATATTTGAAAAATAACAAACATTAACATCAGGGCTTACGTTTGTTAGTCTGTTTTTTAATTATTTATATAAATAGTACTTTGGAGCTTTAGACGCGAAAATAAAGCTAACAAATCGTTAAATCAAACCATTGTTCAGACAAAAGTTATATTAACATGGCAGGTGTGTGATAGTCTAAAGTAGAGATGGAACGGATACCCGGTTTGGATCCGGTGCCCGGCGGATCCGACACATTTTTTAGGATTTGGACGGATAAAGGATAATGACGCCGGGACTTAATGTGGTTTAGAACGTTGGTATTTAATAGAAAACCCGCCAAAACGAAGACATGAACCATTAAACGCAGTGGTTTTCCCGAGCTAATGCTGAGTTACCAGCTATACGTTACGCGGTAACATCCGGTCAAAAAATCATAAAATAAATTTTAGGACAAAGACACCAAAATTATTTTATGATTTTTCTATGCATTTTATTCCAAAATAAAGGAAAATTACCCATATTTCATATAAAGTTTGTTTTTGTGTAAGTTACAGTAATAATACTTTTTTTGAGTTATCATCTATAAAAAACAGCATTACATAGATAAAAATAAAGAGGTCGTAACTTTGCTATTGTAACAACGTAAGAGATTTGTTTCAAGGAAATGGAATGCCCTGTGTTCCCAGTGAGTGCCGTTTATTTATTGACAGCTCGACCAATAGCCTGAAAGCAGTTTTATTACATAACGGAAATAAATTTCCATCTTTTCTGCAGTCGCTCATTCTGTACACTTGAAGAAAACTATGAAAGTGTCAAAAATTTACTCGAAGCTTTGAAGTATGAGTGGCAGTTCACTGGAGTTTTTATGATTTTTAATGGGACTACAGGGTAGATATATAAGATATCCGTGTTATCTCTGTTTGTGGGACAGTAAAGCGGATGCCCAACATTACATTTAAAAATCATGGCCACTAAGAACTGGATTTCGTGTTGCGAAACAAAACGTAAAATGTGAACCAATTACTGAATCTGAAAATATATTAATGCCACTTTTACACATCAAGTTAGGAAACAATTAGATGAATGATCTGAAGCTCTTACGGTTTTAAAAAACTTTCTCCCAAAGTTGTCAGAAGCAAAGCTTAAAGCTGGAATTTCTGTTGGGTCACAAATTAAAAAGTGCTCAACAAAAAAAATTGGATTAGTTTTAAAGGAGAAATTTCTGGATTTTTAGGAAATAACAAAGTTAAAAATTACCAAGAGCTAGTTGATAACATGATAAAAGATTTTAAAACTATGGGTTGCAGAATGTCTCTAAAAGTACATATGCTGGATGCTCATTTCGATAATTTTGAAAATAACATGGAGGCGTATTCAAAAGAACAACGAGAACGTCTTCATCAAGATATTATCACTTTCGAACGACGTTATTAACACCAATACAAGGAAAATATGATGGGGGTTACATTTGGGTTTTAATGAGAGAAAGAGAATAAAATAAAATGTAATAGGGTTCACTTTTAAACTTTTTTCTTCATTTTGTAATATGACAGTAAAAGTTGATAAAAGCTTATATATAAATATATTTGTTTATATATTAATTTAAACCATAGATTTTCTAAAATATTAATCAACTGTGCCCTGGATCGATAAATCTATGTAAATTTCATACCCTCTTATTAAAGTCAAAATTCGTGTTGACCTGTGTAATCAATAAAATCCACAAACAAATAGTTAATATCAATACCTTAATTTTTTTATAAACCTTTCTCTATAATTATAGCTAAATACCAAAACCGAATAGTTTAATTGTCTACAAACAAATTGTAAAGACATTAATAATTATCTAATATTAATACGTGAATCTAAACTTTTGGTACATGGTAGGTACCATAAAAAAATCGACTTTCTTGTTAGATAGGCTTAATCTCAAGGGTGGTGACGTTTAAATTAGAAATTAAGAAAATATTTCGTTTCAAAGGGTGGAAAATAAGGAGATCTGTCCCATTTTTAAATTTTCAGTTTATAATCGTAGGAAAAGTTTATTTATTTAATTAATTATATTGTGCTATGAACAGAGGTCGCAAACTGCTAATTTTTTCTGCATCTGCCCATTCGGTACCTAAGCCAAAAATACGGGATAAAAATGAAAAATATAAAGAAATAATAAGTTTTGTACAAAATTAAAAGCGGTTATAAATTCAAAAATGTAGGGTATTTTTGTTAGAGGGATGCTGGAAGGTAAGAGTATGCGCATTATAATCGATCTGGAGGATTGGTCCAGGACGAATCAAGAGTGCTGCGCTGTATCACTTATTAACAAAACAGTTTTATCGTTTTACTATAAAATGTTTATACTAAGGTGTACAATTAGTGTTAATTTACTGTGTCTTTTGCTAGTTGTATGTACTAATCATGCTGGTAAGTCTGTAGCACCTTTCTAGCTTATAAATAATCGTATACGTATGTATGTACCAATAACTGACTTCAGTTGAAGATCAGATTCCTCAATAAAAAATGTTGTTTGATGTCTCATGGATTACGTTAGATGTTGTCGTTATTTTGTTTGAATGTTTACATAATAATACGAATTTAGAAATTATTAAAAAACGCATACATTAAATCTACAACGTTAATAATATCACAACAAAACATAACTTTTAATTTTGAACAAAAAAACAGATAATCATGTTAATCAGTTAAGGATATCGACGTGTCAATATTTATATAAAAAGGGCATTGGAAAGGTTACAAAACTTAATTGAAAAACCACAATAATATTATTTAGATACGCTGTATCTTCTTCAGGTTGAAGAAATTCTAATTTAAAACAGCTATGAAATACTATATGTTAATTAACAGTAAATATCAAAAGATGGAGATATACAGCCAGTAACTTCTCTTATATAAATCTTCTGTAACTTACTATAGTTGGGACGATTAAAATTAATACTGTGTTTCGGAAGAGGCCGATCTTTAATGATTTCTGAGACTTTTTCTTTGGTAATTGGGAAATTAATATAATAACAGCACACACAACATGATATATGTTTTAAAGCCGTAGTTAGAGAAGTTTGTTTTCACCCCCATTGGTCAATTAGTCTGGCCGACACGACAGGGTAGTGTGCGTGAACATAACGTTCCAATACATACATTTAGGTAATTACTTATAAAGCCTGATCAAGCCAAATGGACTCTGGTTGCAGTAAATAACAGAAACTTTCACCATTATCCCATAGCACTGTAGTAAATTTGAAACATTTTCCGAGATTACAAACAACTATTAAAACAAATTTACAGATTCCAAACTTCCTGATATTGCAGTAGTTACCGTATTTACGACAAATCTAACTAATGTCACATGATGACAGCTGTTAAAAAGTGATTTGTCAATGATTAATTAAATTTCAGGCAATGTATTATATTTTCTATCGTAATTAATAATCTAGTAAAATTAGGTTTATATGTTCAAAAAATTAGATGCCATCTTTTTTATTTTCAATCGATTTATTTTAGTGTTTAGAAAAAAATATTAAAATTGGAACACAAAATTACAATAAAATCTCAAAGCAATTGAGATCTGTGAACAAACCGATTATGTAAAATGCTACTCATAATCCGAACTAATGTCTTCGCTAATCTGAATTATCAGACAAAGATGAAATTGAAAAGCTATCTATAAAGTAACTATTCATTGTTATGACTATGAATACTAAAGGTTTCATCTTGTTATTCCTAAATCGTTTTCTACCAGCCGGTAACTTAACCGATATTATTTAAACCACGATTGTTTAAACAAAAAGAAAAAGTTATTTTCCGTTTCTTCAAAACAAGATTGAAGGCAAAATATAATTTAATATCACTAACAACGTCTACATTTCACCTGTAATGTATTAGGTTTCTACCTGGCCTGAGGAAGCCTGATACATTACAGGCGCAATGTGGGTAAGTATATGTTGTATGTGATATTAAAAAGTATTTTTCCAGTACTTTCCGAATGATGTTTAACAACAACAACAACAAAACCCCCTTATTTAGGAAAAACTATGCGACCGCTCAATATTAACGATCCACATGGAAATTTTTTCTCATTATATGTTATTCAACTGCTCTCTACATGTTATAATAACGGGCCGGGTACCCGGTTTGGATCAAAAGCCTGACGGATGCGGCATCTTTTCAGAATCCGATCGGGTACCGGATAATGACGTCGGATACGCGCCAGTGCCGGGTAATTCTACCACAGAAAAAAGAAGAAACTAACACCAGCAATAATAATGTAATAAGTACAAAAAAGCCTGCCTAGCAAAAATTTGTAATTAAGATTGTATTGGGATAGGTCGTTTGTCCTAATTAATATTATTTATTGATTACTATGCTAAATTATTTACTATTTCGATAGAGTTCTTGTGAACAAAAATACATCAGCATGACCGAACTGTTACAATTTCTGTCTCTTGTTAGTATTTCGGAGTTGATTAACGATAACTTATTAGCAGTAATTTTGTTACCTTGCAGACCGTTAGTGCCTTTAAATATTAGGCTCGGTTCAATGGTTTCAACTCAACCCTCTCATTGAAAATCCGCCAACCAAGAATTAAAATTTCATTGGTTTGAACGACTTTTTTAACGAGATTTAGGGTGTGTTCCGANTTTTTTGAGAAAAGCATTTTGTATTTTATGTAAAATACTTTTCCAAACGTATTTTCCATTTATAAAAAAAAAGGCCACAAAGAGACGTTTCATGAATGCCTTCGGATTCTTTAACTGAAGAGAACCCAAAAAATTCTAAACTCCTTGGAAATGGATAATCTAAAATATTGTTTTCCGGGTTCAATGTCATGGTGCATGGAATTTTAAAATTCCAAATTGACATCATCACCTACCAAATTATGTTTCTTTATAAACATCAAAGGCTTGATCCTTGAAAATCCGCCAACCAAGAATTAAAACTTCATTGGTTGATTGTTTAAACGACTTCTCGATCGGTACCCGGCAAAATCACTATCCCGTGCATCCCTACTCCATATCGTTCATTCCTATAAAAGAAACTTTAACATTTTAACATGTAGCTATACATTCGCGTCGACTTTTAGCGATACTGACTCCAATAAATTTCAATCACGACAAACTTAATTTTCATTTATTAACTTTGTTTTCAGATGCAACAAAACAAGTCGAAGCAAATCCTGATGCTAAACGTTTATACGACGACCTCCTTAGTAACTACAATAGACTCATACGTCCTGTTGTTAATAACTCAGAAACCCTGACGGTTTACTTGGGATTGAAATTGTCTCAGTTAATTGAAATGAATTTGAAGAATCAAATAATGACGACAAACCTATGGGTGGTTCAGGTTAGTGTCACGCATTCATTTTAAACGTTAAAATTAATGAAATTAATTAAAATTTATTACATTTGTGTTAAAAGGTTAATCAAAAGAATAAGGCCTAGTTCCCTCCCATATACCTGTTTTTAATTAGGGTTAAAATTTTCGGTATGTCGTATTCCCTCCTAATTATACATCAATTGCCTCCCAACGGCGGCGGCCACTATGAAGTCATAAGGAGTTGTTTAAATAATACAGCCTCACATCACATATTAATCTTAATATTATTCATATATTATACACACCACAATAACAGTAATAATTGTATCCGACTACCCTTCTATTGGTCAAATACAAGACAAACTAGAACTAATAAAGTTTTTGTGGATGATTGCATCAAAAAGCTAGACGCACACGAATTTCCAAACATTGAATTTGTCAAGCTACTGGGAAACCATTTTAAAATTAAATAAATAAACATTTCATAACTGATATGTATCTTCTTTCTGAAATTATTTTATCTTTAATTTACTGAAGTACTGAAGTGCACTATAAATATATATTTATTTTCGATAAATAAAATTGGTAAGTAGTCATTAACTTAATTATCGAAACTGATATGAACGGAAGGGAACTCGACTAGTACCCAGGAGGGAATTCGACATCTATATTTTAACCAAAACTACCTGCGGGAGGGTATTCGGCATCACCGAATCAAAAATATCAAGTTTCTATTAGCTATATTTCAATATTATAGTAAAGATTTAGCATAGTGTGGACGTTAAAACAGTTATCCTTATTTTAGAAATGGGTAGATTACAAACTGACATGGGATCCTGAGGAGTATGGAGGGGTGGAGATGCTATATGTCCCATCTGAACATATCTGGTTACCGGATATAGTTCTTTTCAACAAGTAAGTTTATAAATAAGTCTTGAATAATGTTGTCAAGTCGGGAAATTATAAAAAATTTCCAATAATGTGAAAAAACGATTTATTAGATTTGTGGAATACTCTGAAAATGACCAAAATGGCCGAAATAATTTTTAGGGGTGTTTGAAAGTTTAATACTAATTTACTGGCCTTTTCCGCGCCTTTCAGGGTGGTGCTTTGAAAGCTCCTTTTGTAGTGGACGATAGCGTTGTACATACATATAAGGAAGCTTTGGGCAAAGTTTGAAGCTTCCGATGCATCAAATTGTGAAGCTCTTTTCCACTTCTTTAGGGGTTGAATTTTAAAAAATCCTTTCTTAGTACTTGCCTACGTTGGTAGTCTCAAAACGTAGTGATTTGCTCCACCTGTATAGACTTTTATATGTATACGAACTTTCAATTCGACTCCGAATCTAAATATAGGAATTTGGACGGTTCAGAATATAATTAAACCATCCACCTGGGAGTAATTTGCAAAATTTAATTACAAACAGCAATTTCCAATTTCCAAAATTAATAAACAGTCGCATTTATGAACGTTTTGAATCATAAGCACAAATTTATATCGAACTGTTATCAATTTAAACGGCTATTTTTACATTAATTCAAATTTCAAATGGAATATCAGTATCAGAGGCTATAATCATTTAGTCGATTGGTATTTTTAATATTCAGCATTGAATTACTTTATTGATAAAAACAATCTCACTTCGGTGCTCGCTTTGTACTGAATAACTTTCAAAATGCTATTTTCGTTTGGAAATAATTTAAAAATATAATTAGTAATTTAATGAATAAACAGATTTTGCAGCGACACAAAACATTTTAAAATTAATCTTTTTTAACATCTTTCAATTGCTTTTTTTTTTTCTTGTATGTATTATACTTGTTTTGACTCGTTGAAAGTAAAATTTGAATTGGAATTAAATTTTATATGTTTGGAACACGGCTATGTATGGGTGCGAAACGTGGACGGTGGGTGTAGCGGAAGTTAGCAGTGTTATTACAGGTGAATGATGAGGGTACCGTGGATAGAGACGGTTAAAAATGAAGACGTATTAGAAAGAGTAGGAGAACAGAGGGCACTGTGGAAGCCAATAGGAAATGGAACGCGATGTTAAATATACTTAAAAATGTAGAGACGAGTTACAGAGATAGAAGCAACGGGCAATTATAAAGCTGGAGCTGCAACGTAGAGAAGTAAATATTAGGAAGGAAGTCAAACAAGATGCGATCAACATCATACACTACAACTGTAGGGACAGATATATAGAGGCAAAAGATTAATATGCTTAGATTTTCAGATGATACAGAAGTATTGTGTGAAAATAAATAAAAGTAAAACAAAAATACCGGTATGCAGGAGAAGGAAAAGTAGGGAAAGAGCGAATGGAGACGAAAGATTAGAAGACGTGACTGATTTTAGTTATCGAAGAACTCAGTTAGGATGGAAGGAGTAGTAGGGATGTAAAGCAGAGGATGGCGCAAGATCGAGTGGTAGACTGTTAAAGGTGTATGTTTGAAGCGCGGCGTTGTGCGGGTGCGAAATATGGCAGTGGGCGCGGCGGAAAAGAAAAGGATAGAAGCGTTCAAAATGTGGTATTACAGGCGAATTATGAGGATACCGTGGATAGAGAACGTTAGAAACTAAGAGATATTAGAAAGAGTAGGAGAACAGAGGACTCTATGGAAACCAATAAGAAATAGGCGAGATAGGTTGGTAGGATATCTTCTCAGGAATTAAGGTCCAGTCAGAGCCATTAAAGACAGAAACAGAAGTTAAGGAGAGTATAGGTAGACCTAGGTTAGATTACTGTTCGCAAATAATTAAGGATGTGGGTTGTTCTGGTTTTGGGGAAATGCGAAGATTAGCTCAGGATAGGAAAGAGTGGATGTGCNTAGGTCCCCCAGTACCCATAAAATGTCCCCACTTTTCCGAAAAATATTTCTTGAATTTATGCCAAAGATGCTAATTATGAGAAGAACGAAATATAGCATTCCAGAATATGACGGGATGTTCTAGTTTTAGGTAAATGCGAAGATTAGCTCAGGATAGGAAAGAGTGAATATGCGTGTCCAACCAATTCCTCAACTACAAAGTTTCACTGAAAACTAACTCTTATGTCTTATGGTGGCAACTTCATTAATAATTAGCAACAATTAAATATTTATAGAAATAATTACTTTTCTTATTCCGACAGTATTTCTAATAATTTCATAAATGTTTCGCTTTCTTTTAATTGCTACAAATAAAGTTTGCTTATAACAAGTAAGGATAGAAATTCCAATAAAACCGGAGCGTCGCACGAACCGGAATAAAAACCATTAGGAAAACTTTGAAACAGGTCATAGTGTTTAAAAGCACAAAGTTAGGCTTTTGGTGCGCTTTCTATGAAATTTGCCAGCGAAGCAGCAACGGCAGAAGTAGAATTAGGACTAGAGTTGGCAACTATAGAACTGAAAATGCAGCCATTAAAAGCTCTCGAAGTGAGGAAAGCGAAGAAAATTAGATTTCCATCACAGTCGCACAGCGGTTTGGTGAATAACTGAGAAGTGTAAAGTTTAAATTTGTTTCGTTACTAAATCCAGTTCAATTCGTTCAAGTTTGCTCATAAATCGACGTGGCTTCTTTTTTGTCTGGATCCGCAGTTCTCACTGATCTACAATTTTACACAATATCAAAATACGTAAATTTGATATTAAAGTAACTACAAATTATGACAAAATTGCTGTTTAATACTTCATTTTTCGGAGCTTCTAACTTCTATTGGTACTTTGGTTTTCTATTATGATCATTTTAATTATTATATAGTGTAGAAAGAAGTCAGACATCTAAAGGTTTGAAAAAATCTGTCAATTAGTTACACCGCAGGTGGATACTAACTTAACAGTATGATGATTAAACGTTCAAAATTTCATATCATAAATAACTCCTATTAAAAACAAAACCAAAAGGAATTCATTTTTTTTTAATAATTAATGGATTAGAAAATACCACTAATGGCGCGGTAAACGCCATCTGTAGTACGATGCTACATTTTAGGATTACGTATGCTCCAACAAGGTCCATTTAAATATATGGAAAAGGAATCCCGGCGTAGCTAACGTCGACGTGATAGGTACGTTACCATAATCGAATAAAATAATTCGAAGTGGTCTGTATTCTGTCGAAACTGCCAGACACGGGTCGTGATTTCGATCTTTTTGGATCTCATCAGCGCGTCACCGACAGCTCCGACAGAACACAGACCAACTTTTACCTGCCGTCTTAACAGTACGTTTTAGAAAATACCACAAATGGCGCGGTAAATTATTTAATTAATGGATAATTATTTTCAGGGGAAAATAGGCCGTACTGATCCAGCGGTGCCTATATTTTATTGGCTACGTAACCAAACTGCTGAGTTACACGTAATTGTCATTCTGCGCATGCCTAATACGAGTAACCAATAGAATCTAGGCTCCTGTTATTTCATCCCTTTCGTTTCGACAACAATTCCCCGCTAGATACCACTTTACTTTGATTAATTTTGAATTGTGTATCAACTTGCAGCGCGGACGGTAACTACGAAGTAACTTTAATGACGAAAGCCACCTTGTCATACAAGGGTGAAGTGGTATGGAAGCCACCTTCGATTTACAAGTCGTCCTGCGAAATAAACGTCCAATACTTCCCGTTCGACGAGCAGAGCTGTCTCATGAAATTTGGATCGTGGACGTACAATGGCTTACAGGTAATTATTGTGTAAATTATTTAATCTGTACTACTTCCCTTTTGGTACTGTTCAAACAACCACAAACTCTACTAAATTTAACACCGAAATGACAAACTTCTCATCGAAATTTCAAACGTACACTTAGCGAAACCTCTAACGACACCTACAATGTAGAAACGATATTACATATTAATGTACTCGTATAATACGTAAGTGCACAGAAAAATATTTCCAGTTGAACGAAACAATTGAAATGTCAAAATATGTTTTTCGATGAAGAAAAGTTTACCTTAAAATAAATATGTTACACTCAATGTGATTAATTCAGATATTACTTATAATATCTAGCCATTATGTATAATATCTATCCATTTTGGACAAAGTGATTAATAGAGCAGAGTTAGTCACATTATCTACCTAGCTGTTTTACATAATACTAAAAAACACGTAGATTTTGTGAGTGTTGTCTCTTCCTACCGTATTTTAATCATCCTAAGATGAAGGTAAGAAAAGTGGGATCGTCTTTAATGCTTTAACGAACTCCAACTTCCAACTAGCAATTATGAATAATATCTATTCTATACAATTTAGTTATTATGCATAATCGCTCTGTAACCATTTTGTCTGCGACAAATATAAAAATTAAACTGAAAAAATCCTAAATCTTTTTTTCTTATTAATACCTATTTTGAGAATTTTTCAATTAGTTTTCAGTTTCTTGCCTTAGTTTCCACCAATTTAAGAAACCGCAAGTAATTTTTGATGATAAAATTTACTTCTAATAGCTTGAGCACGGTCCACAAATAAACAAAAACTGGTTTTCTTATCCTATTTCAAAAACCTTTTCACACATTAATTACTGTTACCTTCCGAGTTTCTTCTCGCCGACAGGTCTAGAAAAGGAAGATTTGTGGCATTTAGTAAATCAATAAATAATAAATAAATAACTTGAGCATCTGTTACAGTTTTTCGTACCATCCTTTAAAAAAATCTTTGATCGGGAAGATACGATTAAATTTATAATAAGAGGTCATTAATCGCAAACTATCAAAAAATTAATAAGCATTGGGATAATCCCAAAGGGCGCTCTCATATCCTTCTCCTCTTAAAAATAATTATTGATCCTCTCTTTATACATATACATATCTAGGGTTCCATATTTTATTCAAAAGGCCCTTCGCAACGATCTTTTACCTCTTGCGCATCTGAAGATTCATGTCATTCTAAATTACCTGTACATATCATTAAATACCAAATGTTATCTCTGCCTTTACATTTCACCCTGACAAGACGAATATTGAACGAATTCCGTAAATTCCTATCCGACTACCCCTAATGATTACGTGCCTACGTATTTACTTGATTTATTTTATAACTAGATAAGTTTTCTTCTTGTTGATGTCCTAAGTATGTCAAAGATCATTGACGACCACATAAAACTAATTTTTTATCCCTCGGGAACAGTATTTTTTCTGGATAAAAGGTATCCTATGTCCTTTTCTGTACCCCTAACAATGTGTAAGCAAAATTTCATGACCATCGATTAAGTAGTTAAGATGCGAAACAGTAATAAATAAATAAATAAATTTAGAGATGATAACTACTAAAACAAGTATAAATATGAACAGGATCGATTTCATTTTAGAGGTTAGTTTAAAATATAAATTTCGTTGAGGGCGGTGCTGGAATATGATAAGAAGTACAGCTCAAGTTCTGTATTAAACAAGTTTGCAAGAAGTAATCGTGTTCATCTTGAACGGAATACTTATAGACACAAAGAGGAGATACGGCCGTTATTCCCAGCCGTTCGTAGTCGTACATAAATAATGCAATTTCAGAAGTTCGCAACGAACTGATAGACATTGAATTGAACTGATCGTGAATCTGAACGTAATTAGGAACTGATTAACTCCAAACTTTCGCTCATCAATAAGATATGTTTACACCTAAAAGCTTTACAGGCTGCCGTTTCATGCATTCGCAATATTTAATAGTTTCATGAGCAACTAAGATATTCTCATACAAGATCTCTCATAAAATATCATACTATAAACACTTGTTAAAATGGTAATAATATTCTAAACAATAAGCACATACTTAATTTATAATTATTATTAAACAATAGTTAAAAGTTATTATTTTATAGTTTTATTACACATACGATTACTATGAAAATGACTTAAGATGGTCTCCTTCATGATAAATTGAGAACAAATATAGGGTGGCGTATTTTTCTTTAGATGACACTTGACAAAAAAAGATTTACTCTCAACACGCTAAAAAGCTTTTTTATAGGTAAAGAACATACTCAATAAATGAATTAACCTGATAATGCATTTGTTTGATTGGTTAGAATCTTAAGGTTACGGTAAGAAATGACAAAACGAACGAAGTGAGTAATTTACATACTTTACAAATGGAGTAGAAAGTTGCAAATAAAATAGATTATGATCATTACTTTGGTAACGTAACAGGTGTTATATAAAGTAAAACGCTTTATTTAAAATAGTAATAAACCTTATAGAAAAACAATGATACTTGATTTGATGAATTATTTTAAGAATGAATAAACGGGAATGTGGAAATTTCCCAAACGATATCCAAGAAACAGTAGCAAAAGCACAGAAAATTAGTTTAAGAACTATAAAGAAAATTGAAAATGAAAAACAGTAAAACATAATACCCTCAACGAAGAGAATTGACTGTCTGTAGAGTGAAAGATTCAAAATTCTTATCGTTACTGCTACTTCTTTTTTTTATTAATTTTGATAATGATTCAAATCCAACTTCCAAATCACCTTGCTTTTTTAGAATCACATTTCTTTGACTTTTTTAGTTTGCATTGTTTGATGTATTCTTCATACACAATTTTATATACGAGTTGTAACTGATTCCGTTAGTACATTTTCCACTGTCTTTTAGATATTCGTTGGGGAGTTTCCACTTTCTGTTTCATCTCCAAATAATTAATCAAACCGAAACAACTGTTTCTGCTTGGAGATACCAAATACAGAAAATTGGTTTTTATTAATCATGTTGTCAAATTTATCAAGTCATAATCACAAAAGCGACATCTGGTAATAAAAACCTTTTAAAACCTATGAAAATTATAAGTCTATCTCCTTTGTTCTGGTTGAAATTGTTCGTAGTATATGATTTGTTGCAATTACAAGGAAAAGAAAAAAACTTTATAGTTGATAAATCGTGCGACCTGCACATTTAGCTGTACTTTCTCACTGCTACCCTTTGTTTTGCCTACGGGGGCGTGTGTCAAATATATCAGTTCGACAACTACAACTGATAAAATCACAAAGTGGTATTACATATTACATTTGTCATTTTTCCACAAAAAATAATACATTCATTATAAAATGAAAATTCCCAGATTATTTATTGATACGAATATATTTTTACAAAAGAATTGTAAAGACTTAATTTTCATTTGAAAATGCTAAAAAATTATTTGTAAATTATCTTGGAATTATTATTTTATAGGATGAAAATAATTTTTTTTATTGAAAAATGACAAAAGTAAGTAAAGATGATTATATGAAAACAAATATAGTTCAGTATGGATAAAATGACAAATTTGTGATTTTTCATGACATTTCTTATCTATTAAGCTTTATTCAAATGTTTTTCTTAATGACCGGGTTTGTAAAGCAGACAACTTAATAGATTTTTAGTCAATTTTTATTTAACGTCACTTCGATGACAATTTTATAGTTTAGCAAAAACACACTGTGTCAAAGAAAAAAAAACAATGTAATTAGAACATACAAAAGTTCTGAAGATGACCCAAAACCAAGGAGCCGAAACGTCAAATAAAAATTGACTAAAGTCCATTAAGTTGTCTTCTTTACAAAACCCGGTCATTAAAAAAAAATTATACTAACAGCAGACCGTAAGAAAGAAGCAAATTAAGCTTTGTGTATATCTAAAACTCCTTATAAAGAAGTTATGCCGAAATTGTTGAAAAATGAAAAAGAAAAAAGCGATTTTCGTCAAATGTTTGATTATAAAAACAACAAAAAATTTTTTCAACAAAGTTTTGTGATAGGAAAATAGGTATTGTTGTAAAAGACTCCTAAAGTGCATAATTTTTTAGTTTTCGTGAAAAAATTAAAAAGGGGCTTTTTAGATTGGATCTCAAGAACGCACCCTCATATTTAGTAGCATTTTCTGATTTTATCATTTTTAGGTGCTGAACTAACATGGACAATTGTTCTGCAGTAAAACCCCCATTCAGTAGCCTAAAATGTACACTTTTGATAATATTTTCCGAATTTCCAAAAATGATATCTTTAAAGTTATCCATTTCATTTATTTATATCATTTATAAAAATAATTAATTCACATGTTCCTTGTGCTTCAGGTATAAATACATTGCGTAAGTAGGCACCTGTATTTATCAAGAACTGTTTTGGAGAATTATCCATGTTCTGTTCAATATTTCGACAGGATTACATACTATAAATCGTAGTCTCATCGCAGTGGGCTATTAATGATGAGTTAGTGCTACCATTTGCAAAATTTACGCGAATTAATTTTCTGAAAATAGACGTAGGCCTGTATTCTTACCGAGGTCAATTCCTTTGGTCACGGAACACGATAATGTGACCGTAATTCCTTCATTTTTATTTAATTATCGCACACAATCTCCACGAGAAATGGTAATTATTTCGTGCACAATTTCCAACCGTCCCGCCCGCTGGTATCAAACAGAATATATCTTGATTGGATTTTCGGATTACAAAGGATATAAGTTTAGCTTGTGAACTTGCGACACAGAAGCCCTCTACGTATTGGACTGATATCATTTACAACCCACCATTAGGTATTACAAAAGGGGAGTGATATTGAAACGGCAACAGTGACGGCTCGTGATGAAAAGGAGCAGGTGTTTTGCAGATACTTATTCATCTAATTGTGAAAATTAATTCCATCTCACGACTTTTGTAGAAGCAAGACCCAGACTTTATAATTTTAGTATGATTATAGTTTTAAATATTAAGGTTATAGTAAATACTTGCTGAAATATAATCATGTGCATTAAAATGACGTGAACAAATTTTTATTCCGGAATTCACTTCTTTGATACCTACTGCTTTCATCTTCATCCAAGCTTCTATTAGTTTACTTTTTTCTCTAATATTCCGAATATATTTTTTACATATATAAAACGATTAGTTTTTATTGGAAAGTAGTTAATGTAGGTGAAGAGTGAAGATCTATGTCTGAAGTGATATTGTAGCTTTTCACTGAACATATTAACTTTTTATTTTATTTATCTTTAGAAGAAAACTTCGTCGACTCCATCATGAAAAAAATATTTACTTTTTTAACGTGTTTTATTATTTTAATAAACAATTTTACAATTTGCGTGCACAGTTCGTATGTAAATTTTTTCCCTCATTCGAGTTATAAATTTTGCCACCAGATGGTGTATGCCCATTTGACGGATCGCAATACCTACCACAAAGAAGAGAAAGATACCCTTATCTTTCTCGGTTAGTCGCAGGTAACCGACACTCGTACTTTATAAAGTCTATGCATGTTTCTCTCTATTTAAACAGTTTGTAAAAAGCGTCTCTCTTTCATTACTACACTACCAATTATCTCATGAATTTTGAATAAATTACAGTGGCGTACAGTTTTACTCACATGATTTTAAAAAAGTGAACAAAACTACATTTTTTCAATTTAAATAACAAAATTACATTCTAGATAATGCACAAGTCAACAGTTTGAATATAGTAGATGAAGATTTTGAATGTTAATTATGAAAATAGATGTAAAAAAAAATATAAAAAATAGCAAGTGCAAGAGTAATCATCTTTAGAATCCATTGAATCGTCATTAGTTTCTATTATAAGGAGTTCACATTCAGAACAGAATTTCTCTCTAAAATTTTCCTTTAAAGAATATCCATGTTTTGACCAAAAGCACGCATTTTTTCGACGAGGTTTTATTGTTTATTGATGGCATCAAATTATGTATAAAGTATGATTTGCGAGTGTCTCATTCTATTGTTCATTTTCACTATTAATCACAAATAAAATTAACTTGAAACTATATGAGCTTTTGCTTTCGATTATTGCTAAGATCAAAAATTTAGTAGAAATGAATTTTCGTCGTATAATGTGAAAAATTCGTTTGAAATTTCAAAAGGTTTCGCACACAATGTTCCGCTCTGCATAAAACACTAAAACTCAATTCCAGGTGGATCTGAAACATATAAACCAGGTCACCGGAAGTAATATCGTGAAAACTGGGATTGATTTATCTGAGTTTTACCTCTCAGTCGAATGGGATATTCTAGCCGTGCCGGCAACTAGGAATGAGGAATACTATCCCTGCTGCAAAGAACCTTATTCCGGTAAGCTTATATCTTTTTCAAAAACTTTTCTCTCTGTCTTATTTTTAATCGCTTACATCCAGCTCAAATTTCGCCGTTCGGCGACTTTTGATTAAATCTTCAAAAGGTAACTGTTTCATTCTGTTCGCAAAAAAAAGAAAGAAGCACATCTACTGAGTGATTTATTGTTGAGGCATCATGACGTATTCCAAAATAAAAAAGATACAATACAGATCATCGATTTTTTCAAATCTAGATGATCATTTTTGAAGATTTTTATGGAATTTCTTGCAGAACGAACTCTAATTTTCGGGCTTTTAGAACGAGTTCTAAGCGAGCTACAAATGAGCACAATATTCGGAAATAACTGAGGCAAAAGATTTATTAATTAGATTTTTTCTTCGAAATTTTGAACATCAAAGAGCATCACTTTATTTTCCTATACTAGAGAAAACTCCTGAACTGTTAGAATTATTTTATGCTTTTCGTTCTACAAATTTTAGATCTAACACAGTTATCTGTGATAGTTCCCTATCATTTTTACGTTCCCTAATTATCTAGTAAGATAGGGTAAGATTATTATTATTGTACTATTGGGTTATTAATTAAATATATTTCACTTATTGACTAGTCATTGTAAACTATATAGTCAGTACATACTTAATATTAGATTAAAGTAGTTATATCCCATTTATAAACATACACATTCGCTTTTTTGTGACAGTAATATTTACGATAGTTAATTGGCTTTAAAAAATATTGAGAAAAGTTACCATACATTTCGACAGAATACAGACCACTTCAAATTATTTTATTCGACTAAGCTAACGTGCCCATCACGTTGAGGTTGGCTACGCCGGGATTCGTTTTCAGCAAGTAGATATCCACACAGGTGGACCTTGTTGGAGCATACGTAATCCTAAAATGTAGCATCGTGCTACTGATGGCGTTTACTGCGCCATTTGTGGTGTTTTCTAAAACGCACTGTTAAGACAGCAGGTAAAAGTTGGTCTGTGTTCTGTCGGAGCTGCCTGCGACGCGCTGATGAGATCCAAAGAGATCGAAATCGCGATCCGCGTCTGGCAGTTTCGACCACTTCGAATTATTTTACCATACCAAGTTTTAAAATATATACAAGTGTAAGATAAAAAGCGCTTATGGGAGACAGACAGATGGCCATGTGACTAATCATAGTAGGATTCCGCATTTTATCTGTAATGATAGATACCTACAGACGAAGGAAGATAAAAATCGCTTTTTTATGCTGAATTGTCTTTTCTTCTCTTTCAGATATAACATTCAAAATTACGATGCGAAGGAAAACACTGTTTTACACAGTGAACTTGATTATCCCGTGTGTTGGGATTACTTTCTTGACGGTCCTCGTATTTTATTTGCCGTCTGATTCAGGGGAAAAAGTCAGTTTGTGTGTATCAATTCTTGTATCGCTAACTGTGTTCTTTCTACTACTTGCGGAAATCATTCCGCCCACATCGTTAGCAGTTCCCTTACTGGGAAAATATCTTCTCTTCACCATGATCATCACCACTTCAACGATATGGATCACAGTCTGTGTACTCAACGTCCACTTCAGGTAAAATTAAACTAAGTGGAACTTCAATAAGTTAAAATTCAGATTGTATTACGTTAAATAGGATAGGGTAAGTTAGGTTATATTGTATAAGATTTTCGTCTTCTCCCCCTGGAGGCTTTTCCGATCCCATCTTGTTGATGAGGATCCAAATGCGGACCTGTGACTGTCAAACTTACGAATATTTATTTACAGAAGAAAATTGTTTAAAACACCTGCCCCAATTTTCTCATTAATGTTAGGAGAAGTTGGAAAAATGCACGTTTCGGAAAGTTTATCTTTATTTCTAAGCGTCTAAAACTCTCGATGAGTTTTTAAATTAGTCATGTGTGGAATGAACGTCAGGATGGTAAAAATTTCATTAAAGAATTAAAGGCAGTTGCTCGTGGCCCTCTTGAAAATGCGAACTGCATATTTTTTGCGAATTTTGTTGGCTTCTAGCCTCACTAAAATAATTTTTTCGCCGCTCTATTTCCCATGGCTTGTTTTGAAAGCCAGAAAAACACATGTGAGGACTTTTAATCCTTCGTGAATTGCACCCGACGTGTACTATAAACATATCAATGAAAAAAACTAAAAATATTGCCAAAAATCTGTATGCATTTATATTTTATAGACACTTTGATTCTCATTTATGACATTCTTGATCATGAAGATGCTTATATATATATTCTACCTGCAGAATTCTTATTCGAATGCATGGGCCCGCAATTAATGAGCATAGTGCAAGAAATAAAATACAAAAATAGGTCAATTCTTCGAATTTTTTACAATAAGTCGGATCGAGATGCGGTTTTCTACATTCGATTAGTGAGACCGTTTGTAAACTTTGTGAACATTACAGATCAATTCATCTTTAAAAATATATCGGCACATAAGAAAAATGCGGTCTTGTAAGTGCACTGCAAAGTTATAAAAAACTCAGTCAGTAATGATAGAACCAAGTCCAATTTTGTTACTCGAGGATTTTGAGGGTCGATGAACACGAATATGCAATGGGCAACGACCTCCGAGGTACCTGAGGCCCAAGAAACGAAAGTACTGTTATGCACGGAAAAGAAAAAGTAGGGAAAAAGCGAATATAAAGACAGGAGACGAAAAATTAAAAGAAGTGGCTGATTTTAGGAATCTAGGAAGTCAGATAAGTCAGGAGGGAGGGAGTAGTAGGGATATAAAACAGAGGATAGCGCAGGGTCAAGTCACATTCAATAAAAACAAGTCACTTCTATGCTCTCGAACGGTCAATTTAGAAATTCGGAAAAGGTTGTTAAAGGTGTATGTTTGGAGTACGGCGCTGTGCGGGTGCGAAACAAGGTAAGAAGCGTTCGAAATGTGGTGTTATAGGCGAATGATGAGGATAACGTGGATAGAAAAGGTTAGAAATGAAGAGGTATTAGAAAGAGTAGGAGAACAGAAGACTCTATGGAAGTCAATAAGAAATAGGCGAGGTAGGTCAGTAGGACACCTTCTCAGGCATGAAGGTCTGGTCAGAGACATATTAGAGGCAGAAACAGGAGTTAGGAGGGGTAGAGGTAGACCTAGATTAGATTACTGTTCGCAAACAGTGAAGGAAGTGGGATGTTCTAGTTTTAGGTAAATGCGAAGATTAGCTCAGGATAGGAAAGAGTGGAAGTGCGTGTCCAACCAGTCTTAGGACTGACGACCTTACGATGATGACTTATAAGACTACATTTTTCTTATGCAACGACACATTTTTGAAGATGAATTGATCTCTTATGTTCAAGTTTGTAGACAGTCTCACGAATCAAATACAGAAAACCGCATTTCGATTCAACTCACTTCACAAAATTCGAAGATTCAGGGCTTTATATCCGCGACTAACAAGGAAAAATAAAATATCAAATTTCTACCTTTACTGTGAGTTAATGATGCTTTGAATGATGCTAAAGGAACTTTTCTAAATTTCCCATTTCCGAGGTTTTATTGTCGAGGTTTCCGTGTATAACAAAAGAAAGGAAAATCTTTTACACTTTTATACCATCCACCTACAGTGTAAATTAGTTAAATACTTCTTATAAAGTAAATTTACATAACAAATGATGTTTTCGTGTTTTGCTATCGGGAATGCTTAATATTACGTGTCAAGTGTGCAACTTTATACGTAAATTGACGTGGAAATTTCTTATTTCTAACTATAGCATTAGCCCAGAAAGGTATTAATGGTAACCATAAGACCAATTTCGTTTTTAAAAAAGAACCAATCCATTACCTGACAAGTTAAATTGACTTCAATCTCAATCTCAATTCACGATTCGCGTGTCTTTAAGCATGAATCGTTCGCCATCTCGTGCAGTGCAGTTCTGACAATAAAAAACCCTAGCGTCGAGTTAAAATTAAAAATCAATAGGCCATTTGTTCTGTACCTTAATTACATTATAATGACTGTTAAGCCACGGCAATCGATCAAGCAGGTGCTTTAATTCCACCAGAATTTTTCTGTATTGCTGTAAGTAACGAAATAAAATTGTAAAAGAAATTGAGAATTCCTAGACAAAAATTTTCAGTCTCTCTCTAGTCTCTCAGTCTTTCAGCGTCTCTGAGAGCGTCTCTCATCTCTCGGTTATTGTCTAGGTGTTTTTATGGATCTCTCACAGTCTTTGCATGAAGAGACTCGAACGATAAAATTGTTAATTCAGAGATTCGAGTCTCTCACAGAGAGACTGAATGAAGAAAACTAAAAAATTGAGAGACTCGAGTCTCTCGTAGAAAGACTGGGATCTCTGAAATAAGTTGAACTTAGAAAATTTTAACCATGCCTATCGAGACACCACTTATTGAGAGAATCTCGTTTAGAGATTCGAGTCTCTCATTCAGAGACTGGATATGAAATGAGGATCTCTCTATGAGCGACTCGAGTCTCTCGTTCAGAGACTGGATACGAAATGAGCATCTCTCTATGAGCGACTCGAGTCTCTCGTTCAGAGACGCTAAACTGTTTTTTTTGACTGTCTCTCGAGAGTCTCTCTCAGCGACACCAGAGAGACTCGATGAGAGACGGAGACTCGAGTCTCGCTTTCAGAGTCTCTGAAAGACTGAACTCGGGATATACTTTTGGCATTTAATTTAAGGATGAGTATGGAATAAAAATAGATCATAAATATTAGTGTGTAAAGGAAGTGAAACGTAAAATAAAAAGATGAAGACGATTTTCGATATTTAGGAAATCATATAATACAGGATTGATAAAGCAGGGATAGACATTAAACAAAAAATAGTCCAGGATCGAATCGCTTCAAGTAAAACGAAATCACTTTTGTGTTCACGAACAGTTAATTATGAAATTCGATAAAGATTATTAAAAGTGTATGTTTGAAGCTATAAGAAGTATAATATAAATTTGATATTTTTAGGTCCCCCAGTACCCATAAAATGTCCCCACTTTTCCGAAAAATATTTCTTGAATTTATGCCAAAGATGCTAATTATGAGAAGAACGAAATATAGCATTCCAGAATATGACGATACCCTACCACCCAGGGGTTTCACCACTGCCGACATGGAAATATATCAGTGAGTCATATAACAATAAATAATTAAATACCGAATTAAATATCAGAAAGAATAATAATTTCTTTAGATCAGGAATTTCCGATCCGTTTACCACCGATTTCAAAGTGACCACGATGGAACCTAGTTTTGTTCTACAAAATCAAGACCAAGATGATCTTAAAATGAAAGCCCACACATCACGTAAGTATTAAAAGTAAAATTTACTGATCAAACTATGGTAAAACAAATGAAAATTTGCAATTTAACGTAACACAAACTTTGGAGTCAAAACTTTTTCAACTTTAAAATTTCCAATTATCCAAATGAATATGCTTTGTAGCCAAAAAAAACTTAAAACCTTTATTTTAATCACAGAAAAAACCGTTAATAATTATTTTATATTGGGTACTTAAAAATAAAATTCTATGTCTAATTAAATTCAATTACTATGAATTTTATAAGTCTCTAAAACTCTATATCAGATTCAACTACTTATACCCCAAAAGTACTATCCCCGAACGTCTTACAAGCTCTACAGGGTGTTCGATTCATTGCTCAACATATTCGGGATGCTGATAAAGATAATGAGGTAAGTTGGACATCAACATTAAAAACGTTTAAATGTTGAAGCAACCATCTTCTAGTAAAAACATTTGTATTTACACAAACACTAAATTTACCAATTACGTAATTGAGATCAGTTAATATAACCCTGTTCTCTCGAAAAAATATAGTTATCTGTATGTACATAATTAAATATAATTTCACCTTTTTATAATTAAAACATACAAAAATTAATTTGAGTTTTGGTAATGTAAAAATTACTCGCTTTAAATAAATATAATTGTAGAATCCTCATGCAACAAATTAAATAGTAGATAATTACAGAATTTTTTTCTGTTTACTTAGATTGTCGAAGATTGGAAATTCGTATCAATGGTTTTGGATCGGTTTTTCCTTTGGGTATATACCATTGCTTGTTTTGTCGGCACGGCTGGTATAATAATGCAAGCACCTTCTTTATATGATACCAGAAAGCCCGTCGATCAAGAACTAAGCGGAATATCGTTACTAAAAAGCATGACATTACCGCCCAATATTTACGTTCCTAAACAGTAAACGAAATTGTTTAATAAAAATGATATTTTAGTAGTTAAATGCAACGGTTTTATTGAGTAAAGATATATTACATTCTTGGCTGACAATTTATCGAAAATAGTGGATCGTAATTTCGGTCTTATTAGTCTCATTAGCAGGGCCGTAGCGAGGCCGGTTCAAGCGGTGCGGCGCATCGGGGCCTCCGCAGTCGAGGGGCCCCTTAGCAGTTTTCTGTTTTCAAAAAAGGACTTCTAAAAAAAACTATGCTGTTAGAGATGAGCTGAGTCAAACTACGAAATGAACATCATAATTTTTGACGTGACTACGTCTTATAATTCGATGGAAGCGGCTGCACGCACGAAAAAACATGACTCATGCGGCGTTACCTTGCTCTGAGGCGTTCCATTTAAGGCTTGAAGTGCAAGCGAGAGCGCGGAACGACCAACAAAGAGGCACAATCGACCTCCGTGTTCGGCAGCGTTCGACATCTGTCTCTCTCCTACTTGAGTGAGCGATGCGTCCGCGTGGACAGCTGCTATACAATAATACATTTCCATTTACCTCCTCTATATCTATACAAAATATCTATCAAACAAATAAAATTAAAATTTTCTTTTGAAAAATGAAACCATTCCATCAGTATTTGCTTATAACGTTGTCACGTTCAACTTTCGTCAGTAAACCGACTTTATTTTTTATTTTACTTTTTTCTATATCAATTTTTGTCACAATACTCCATATATTTGATCATCAGTTTTAAGAAGGGCCCTTTGCGGAATACCGCACCGGGGCCCCGAGCTCATCGCTACGGCCCTGCTCATTAGCATGTCATAAGCAGTTTCCTAAAATAGCCTAAGTTGCACCGTAAAAGCAAGTTGATATAAAATCATGCTATTGGCAGTACATATATCGCCATCTATTGATAATCAAGTTAAATTTATTCAATTTCATAAAGCATCTCGGTTTATATTACAATATGAACGCATTTACCGGATTGTTATTGAATTTGAAGTAGAAATTAACAAGCAAGCACAAATGACTAAAATATCAATAAATTTGAAAACTTTTTGTATGCCGTAATACTAACCTTTCGGTTTACCTTAATAAATTCCTTGAACAAAACAATTAGTTTTAGTAAAACCTAGGAAAAAGCAGGCCAGAAGAACACGAGCAGAAGCACACCGAATTGGGTTAGGCAGTCAAAATAAACTACCTACTTAATTTTTTCCTATTTCTACTTTGTTGTCATTTTAACAATAATTAAATCCTGTTATGAAAGGAAGCCCTTCGCATATATCGACATTGTTATTATGTATAATATTTAATAAAATTTGTCTTAAAAATTTGTTTGCAATTTTACCTGTTAAATAAAAAACGCAAATATGAATATGAAATAATTATATTTATTTCAAACTAGCCTATTTAGTAAAAAAAAAAAATATGAAGCACAAATATTACATTACATGTTTCTTCTTCGGCTTAAATTTGGTTGCATTCGATATACATTTGTCAGGTTTATTATCAAACATTGAACAAATGGTGTCGAAAAAGTTAAATTCCAAATCTCTAGACATGGAAGGACTATAAAACCCATTAATTGCTATAGCAGGAACATAAGACAGAGGTGAACTCAAGGCGTCTGTAATATCACCAAAATGAGCTAAAATTTCATCGCCTTTTGGTGAGTCCATACAGCTTTTAACAAAACTCCAAGATGCGTTAACTTTACCAGTGCACTAAAATATTTATATTATGTAAATCTGTTGATGTTATTAGATAATTACATTTTTATATAGTACTAAAAGAAAACAATCCAAATTTAAATGTAGATGCTTATGTCGTATGTTATCTACAAAACGGTCAAATTTCCCTAACTCGAATCTCGAAACGGCAATAAAACTGTAGCATTTATTTTCTTCTTTTATTTTACTAATTAGACTAGAGCGTCTCCTGGCAGAACGCCTACTTTTACTCACGACAGACGTTGTAGGGAATATCCTAAACTTACAAAAGAGATGTCAGGTAGGAATTGCAGCGAACACTATTAAAGAAAAAGGAACAACGTTACACTAATAAATGTGTAACAGAAAAAGATGCAGACAGAATTTGAGAATGTTGCCAGTATCCTACTTTAAAGAAAGTTCAACATTCTCAGGAATTTAGGATTGCAAAGACCCTTGTTTAAATATATAATTCCAACCAGTCAGTTAGAAAGCCGACCCTGATTTTTTCCATACCTAAGCAACCTCTAACCGCTACACCACTTACTATTAATCAGTTATCTCTTTTCTTTTCTTTGTCTGTACTACTCAAGAAGCATTTCCTAACTTACTAAGTGTGTGTTCAAAATGTAGCAAATGACTACAGACCCATGTGGAAACAAGAAAGAAGATACTTCCATTCTCACAGATTAAATTTATTGCGTACTTTGCCAATTTTGACCGCCTCAACTATAGGTGTTTACATACATTGTTACTAAGGGTAGTTCAGAAAAAATTTAAAAGTGAGCTATTATTATATTCTGTATGGTCGGTTAGCAATAAACCTAATGTTTTGTATTTATTTCCAAATTTTCTAGTAATCCAAGTTTACAGTCGTTTGTAGGTTTTCACGACCAGTGTTTAATTGATGATGAAGAACTTCTGGGATTTTTTGCAGTGGTCGAATTCTAATTGCAGACGTTTCGTTATGCTTAATAAATGGCACAATGCATCTTCAGTGCTTCTTGATGTATGGTATGAGATGCCATCAATTAAGCATGACGAAACGTCTGCAATTTGAATTCGACCAAGGCAGAAAAGCCCAGAAGCTCTTCATCGTCAATAAGCTAAGTTTGCTTCCTTTGGTTTTCGTAAGTAAAATATCAATTTTATTATTAAACAAATGTCCTTGTGCAACGTGAATTGCGTAGGTAAACTCTGTCTTGTTTCTATGATCTGTTAATGATTTTTTAAAATTTCTCCCAGTTTGTCCTATATAAACTTTTTGGCAAGACCTACATGTTAACTTATAAACTCCAAAGCGATGTTCTTTATTCAATTTATTTTTATTACTTTTTATAAGTTTATCTAAAGAAAAATTAGTTTTGTATAGAGTATTCAGTCCGCATCGTTGTAATATAATATATACCTAATTTATTATTACAAGTTAACAACAAAGTTTTTCCAAAACGTTTATATAGGTCAAACTAGGAGAAATTTTAAAAAAAATTAACGGAGCATAAAAACATTAAAAACAAAACAGATTCCACCTACGTCAATCACGTCACAGAAAAAGGTTATCAAATACTTCGTTCGTGCTATCGTTTCCTACAGTAATTTTATGCAAAATAGCTATCGTCATTATTTGCGTGTTGCACGATTTCTTTGCCAATTGTAGTAAACCGATTTTAACGACTCTTTTTTTATTGTTATTTGTTAACTTTCTAATTTATGTTTGTCCATGTAAACAAAGGACTGATGTCGGTTCCTATACATTAATATATTAAAATTATTAATTACCTCTTTCACACTCTTTGAAGAACCTGGAGATGAGTGACCAAAATCACAGTAAACAAACTTTGATTTTTTGAAATCAGGAAGTGTTTGATATAAAACACAACCCTCTCTTTTATTTCCGACGCATTCTGCTTTATCATGTTGACATTTGAATTGCCATTTTCCATCGCGAGTCATCCATCTCTACAATAACAATATGATAATATTCACGGAAAAAAAATATTTATAATTCGATTATTCTTTTGATAACGACTGTTTAACCAAAAAAAAAAAACAATGCATTGCAATTAGCATTCACTCAATATATTTGCAGTTAGTCAATAAATTGAATGTAAAGTTTAATTACAGACATTCAAGCGAATACATACAGGGTGGCCCAAAAAGTACGCAATATGCTCATCGCAGCCAAACTGTAAGTTTAGTCGAAAAATTTTTCAAACGAAACTTGCTCCCTTACGTTTGTATTATCCAAATTTCATTTAACATACGGTGTTCGAAAACAGGAAAAAAGTTTCGTTTGATTAACTACACAAATTTAATTTAATTTTTAAAATATGGAACAAGTTTTATTTGAAAAAATTCTTCGGTTAAACTTACAGTTTGGCCTCAACAAGCATATTACGTACTTTTTAGGCTACCCTGTATACACATAAACCAAAGAACTTACTCTTGCTTTTCCGTAGGGGACAAAGTCAACGTCTAGAAATGGCGATAATTTATTATAAGTAGGATAAAATTGTTCCCTTATAAAACGACTGCTGTCAGGGCATAGAACCTCATAGTAAATTGAAACTCGTAGTTTGCCCTGTCATGATAAACTTTTAATTATTTAAAGAATATTTAAAAAAAATCGTACACACATACATTTACCTCCTTTATTATAACAGAACTTCCGGAGTCGAACAACAAACACACTAAACTGTAGAGAATAATCATTGTCTCGAAATGAAAAAAAAAAATGATTGGTTACGATTAATTTCACTTTATCGTCTATTTCAACATTAATTGTTTAATGAAGCATTGTGAAGCGCAACGTTAACATTATTTAATTAAAGAGAGCTTGAGTCACGCCTCCGGAAAAACAAAAACTGATAAGACATACACGTACNATTTAGTAATGACAGTAGATAGTCTCACTCATTCTGAGTAGATACTAAAGGCTCGAGTAGATTCTCAAGAAACGAGAGGAGACACTTCCATGTTTGAGTTAATTTTGCTGTACGGAGCCCGCAATTTTTGAATATAGAGACTCAGTAGTCCCAGTAGATAGCCTTACTCATTCTGAGTTGGTACTCACCAATTCTCAAAAAACGAGACTAGACACTCACATGTTTGAGATTCTACTCAGATTTTAATGCATTTCGAATGGAATTGCTATTTACTAAAACTCAACTTTGTCATACTACCCATATTTACTCATAATACCTTGCAACTTCGTAAAAATAATGTACCTACGGTACTCTTAAACATTTATTAAAGCATATCATGTACCTATATAAGCCAGTGATAGAATAATTAATGTCTCGTGTTCATTATCAATAAAAAGTTGACATGCATCGTAAGTATTATATTAGTGGTATTAAAATGTTAACAACAGTTTCTGAACTAATAATATGTAAGGCAAACAATAAGAATTACCCGTAAGATTTAACTATCAATTACAGAAAAAATTCAATGCTAAAAAATTTGATTGTTAGTTTTATTTTCCATTGTAATTTTTTTGTTAGACATACAGGCATATTTTGTATATTATCACAGAAATAATGAAACATTTTGAAATAAAAAAGGGAGAATAAAGAGTGACGAAACATGGAAAATAAAAAATTTATAACTTGTACAATATGTTGTTTCCATTTCACGCGTGAAATTAAAAAGTTGTATCAACAATACTATTATTTATTAATCTACCGATTTCATTATTTTATGACGATCTAGTCAAGGACAAAAAGAGTTTTTTTATATTAATTACTTTCTGAATTACAATACTCATTAAGTAGGTACAATTATTATTAATACTGAATTGCTGCTCAATTGTTCATTTAAAAAGTGTAACTGGGCCATTAACAATAAAATTAGTAAATTATTAATATTATAGCAAGAAAAACGTTTAATAATAATTATTGTAAGCTAAACTGGGTATTTATTGAGAAGTATTATATTTTATTTTCAAGTAAAAAGTCCCACTGAGTATGCAACCAAATTATCACAACTGTTAAACAATAGAATTCAACTGGCATCATGCAATTAATCAAATAACAATTACTGTAATTAAATCGTTATCAAATACAATAATATGTATAGAAAAAGTGATATAACATAACTGTAAATTAAAATTAAATCAATTAAAATACCTAAAACTGTTTACTTAGGTAACTGTAAACTACCTGTCAAGAATACAGAAAAATTTATAATAAATCTCACGATCATTCTATGAAGCCAATACGTATAGTATTCGTTTTTAATTAAAGTAAATCAAAAATGAAATAAAGGGACGTAAAGGATAGGGTCGTTAACAGTATGACAATGGCCTTTGTAACAGGTAATTATATCAGTTCTGTTCATCATCAATGTCATGAAAACTAGAGCAACCTACATCATTTACGGTTTTTATTTTTTATCGTTCCTAATCCTTTTTAAGCTGAACTATTAAATCGTAGTATTTAATATTCCTCTTACTATTAAAGATTTCTACTTTTTAAATGTAAACTAGCGACCCGCCCCAGCTTCGCACGGGTGCAATGCTGATACTAAATATATTACAGAATGTCTTTATATACAACAGTCACAGCTTTTTTGTCATTAAACAATACAAACCGGTTGGTACCGCCGCAACCGCTATGTCCCCGCATTTTAAATCTGTAATATCTTCGAAAATATTCATTTAAATTACATGCCGTAAAGGGCCATATTGATCTATATTGAATGCACAATGTATTTAAAAGTACTTAATTGGATAAGGATTAATGCTGTATTGCTTAAAATCGCTTCGTAAATAAGCCATTATTTCTCGTAAAAAGTAAAGGATACAAAATGGTTATTGTGGGTTATCCCTAACAGATAGACATATACCGTCCTGGACTTTTTTGTACACCTTTTTAAGGTATACAATACTGTAGTACATTATTTTGATCTATCTCGTAGGGTTCAACCAGCGTTTGCAATCTAAGCGCAAAAAATACGTTTATTTACGACATCACATTACAAACCTCTAAAATTATCAGTGTTTCTCTACTATATCATGTATGTATTATACATATAAACCTTCCTCTTGAATTACTCTATCGCATCAAAATCTGCTGCGTAGTTTTAAAGATCTAAGTATACATATGGACAGACAGCGGGAAGCGACATTGTTTTATACTATGTAGTGAAGCATCGTCATCATATTAAAGAGATTTTATAATTTTTACTTTTGTAAATAGTTCTAATAGGGATTTTAGAATTATTGTATTTAATAAATAACAGTATTACCTACTATATTATTAGCGCATAACTTTTTACAGAGTAGTCCGACTTTGATCATACTTTTTTATTTGATAAGGTACGCCTCTAAGTTGGTCTATTTAAATTAAAAATAAATCCACCCTTAAGGGTAGAAAAATTGGGTGTTCACCAATTGAATTTTTACNTTATCCATGAAATAAACTAAGCAAAAAGTAAAATAAATTAGTTCTCAAATAAGTGAAATTGAAGGGCGATGTTTATAAGCTGTGTAATTACTGTAACATTCATTAATATAAACAAATCGACGTTTTTTTATTCACACTATCGAGTGTCTACTGTATTTGTATGTTTTGTCTCATTCTTGGAAATAAAGAAACATAAATAGTAAAAATGAAGACATAGGTAAATCAAAATAACAGATAAAGCAAAACAACTAAACTAAGATAAATAATAATTATACATATGTATTTATGAAAACAACAGAATTTCGCAAATAAAAAATTACAATAATAAATATACTTACGGGTTTATAACGTCCTTATGGAGCAATATTAAGGATAGGCCCAAAAAGTAATAAGTGATATTAAACAATAACCAGTCGTGTAGGTAATCACAAATTAAAAGTAAATAATATTTGTACCATTGTTCAGCCCTTCTTAGACCTTTTTCAGTGAATGCTGAATAACTAGTAGATGAAAATATAAAAGGTCTCCAAGCTAACGAACACACTATTTTTGGATTCTTTCGTCTAATCTGAAAATTCAATTTTTAATTATAACTGGAAAAAATGTTATCTGTTTATTTACCAAGTATATAACATTAGGAAAAAATGAAGATACAACAGCATTAGTATAAAGCTTAGGATACTTTTCATACATCTGTAATATTATGTCAACCATCTGAAATTTTAATAATTATGTAAGTATTGTTTTAATCATTCACATTATACCTTACCTTTAAATTATTTTCTTTAATATCAATAAACATCTTTTGCTTGGAATTTAGTAACTGTTGAATTGTTTCTTCTAATGTAGGTACTTTACAATTTGGGTATCGGTCTCTAAAAGTACAAGTTGCATTGTAAAAACATGAAACATGTAATAAATAAATCACTCACCTGAATGGATGCTTTACAGAAATATCTACTTTTTGGAGTTCTTGCCATGTCATTCCAGATATTTCTTTATCTATATCAGCCATTCTTTCTAATGTAGAATCATGAAATACAACAGGAACATTATCTTTTGTCAAGGACACATCAAACTCAATAAAAAAGCAGTCCTTTTCAGCACACTGGAAATAAGGAAGACTGATAATGTTACTAAATCCTATAACTAAAATTCAAGACATTTGTACCACTTTAAAGGCAATAAGAGTGTTTTCTGGTACATCTAAAGCTGCACCTCGATGTGCTGCCACTTTCATTAATAACTGCTGTCCATTTTCCTTTTCATTTCTTAAATCTTCACCGACTATCAATTCAACTGTTTCTTTGTCAGGGGCAGGAACTCGGAAAACAAATATTAGGAGAGTTAGTAAAGCAGAAAGGAGTACCCCAAAAGGCAAAAAATAGCATGTGGCTTCCAATATCACCGACAAACTACCATACACAAAAATGGTAAAAAGGATACATGGTTTAAATATACTTAAAATCATTTTTCCTATTTTTATAATTACAGGAATTTGAAAATAAACATTTATCAAAACAAAACGTCAAAAGTTGCCATCATAGATAATAGATCTACAAAGGGTTGCCATGTTTTCTATATCTATAGAAAACCACCATAAAACTGCATAAAGCTATGAGAATGAGTCAACCTTCATCCATAATTCCCAAATGTTCAGTTTTTATTAAACTTAATACAAAAATATTTACAAATAATCACATTTAATTTTTAAATAAAGTTGTACTATTTATATGTACTTGATAAAGGTAAATTATTAAAATGGAACATAGATATTAAATCTATTTTAAATTTCTATAAAACTAAAAAAATGGCTTCCATTACTTGTATATTTCTATGAATTATTGGCCGGGGAAGTTTAAAAATTCAAAATAGTAACGTGTATCAAGAAAATTGTTCATCGATATTGATTAACACATAAATTTATGTGTATATCCTAACCAAATCGATTAAAATTAGAAATTTGCTAATTAAATACTTGACAGTAATTATAAAGCACTTCTATTTTTAAATATAGTGTTATATTTTATTTGAATCTCACTACACACATGTCGAACATTATTATTCATAGTCTATTTAAATATCTTTTTATAATGTTGACTTTTGTCTTTTCTTAATTAAATATTATTATATTAAAACAAATTGGTCCAAACTATTAGCTGCATATTGAATACACAATAAAAATGTTTTTTTCCGTGAACTATAGTGAACTTATTAGCCGATTCATTTAATTATTTGTGTTTTTCTTAAACAATTATTTCACTACATATACAGGGTGATCTGTGAACAGCGAAGTAGCGGTAATCAACGAATAAAAAAATGATGAAAGGAAAGGAAATAAATTGCATACAACAAGACCGTACTAATCCATTATTTATTGGGCTGGCAAATTGTTTAACCACAACATAGCAGGCCAAACAGTTACGTTAATATAATTTATTTACATAAAACAGTACAATAAGCACTACTGCACAACGCCGACTGCAATGTGACAAATAGTGCCAACATTGGATTAAAAAGATGTATGACGAGGGGTCCTTACTGTGCTTGTCTTCAAAGGTTCTCATTTTCACAGCTTCTCAATCGCATTTATTATTTTTACATAAAAAAAAAAACCTGAAGAAATGAGACCGAAACGCGACAAGCACGCAGAACGATACATGACACCGGGCTATAATCATTATTAATCCATAATATGACAAGAAAACAGGTACGTCTAAAATATTTACACGATGAAAAAGGTATATTTATAGGATAGGCGAAAATATTGTTCGTTAAAAATGCACAATTCGAACTCTTCGCACATGTCCCTGTGTGATGTAACCGTTTACGTCACTCTAAAAGAAAGCACATCTCAAACAAACGAAAATTTTTTTAAAAAATATCATGCACGAATTAAGCTTTTTCTGTAGTTCTAAAAGGAAAAACTCACATTTCATTTGAACACCTAACATACGTATTAAGTACATAAAAAAAATCTAGTGTATTTTATTATCTCCAGTTTCTCCGACCCTCTAGTGCAAGACAGGAGAGTATGGCGGAAGTACATTCAAAATATCTATCCCTCGCGTTATATGCAACAGAATTTCGCAAATAAAAAATTACAATAATTAAACGTACCGTACAAAATGTGAAAAAGCGTTTGATTTTTTTTTTTAGATTTTAAACGCTAACATTTGGCAAACTAAACTATGAAAAATTCCGGACATTACAAAAAAATACGAAAACTAGTACATAGCTGTTATTGTAGAGGGTGAAGCAATTCAGGAAAAATTAAATGTGGAGGTTGGAATAAAATTGACGACGTAATTTTTTTTTGGGAACTGTCTAGTGACGTTATCCAAATACAAATTAATTTTGGCAATCTGCTTTAAACTTTAGGAGCCGACATAAAATACGCCACTCAGAATTTCCCTTTTTTGGAGTCCTCCCTTCCCCTTCCCTTGAAATTCAACGAAAAAAATTCAAATCATCATGACACCACACATATGTTTATTTACTAAAGAATAACTTTTAATCGTAATGAAAAGTTTTATAAACTGCCTAGCCTAATTGTAATAATGTTGTTAAACTGCAAAAGCCACATCTTCTTAGCCCCCCCCCTTCTACTTATCATATCTCGTCTCTCCCTTACTTGTGAACGTATTTTATGAACAGCCCCTTAAAAATATATAACTACCAACAAAATTTTGCAACCCTTTCATTGATGATGATGACAATCATAATCCCGAGGTCAAATTTATTTCAACACCTAAGAAGACATTAATATTGTTTTATCCTGTACACTGTAGATAAATTCTCACAGTCTTCGTTTTACTGTTTCTTTTTGGAGGTGCATATATTAATTATTAATAAATCGAGAAAAAATACATTAGGTCCTAACAATATGTTCCCACCCATTTCGGTCGATAATTAAAAAACAAAAATGTACATTTATTGTCGTTACAAATGTCACTTATAAACATGACTAGAAAAAAAAAACTATTCTACGACTCTGTATGTGTTTCTGTTGTGTACGAGTGGCGTGTGTATGCGTGTAAATGTAAACCTGTGGTGTCGGTTGATGCATGTACGTGTAGGAGTTTGCGTGTCTATCGTCTCTCGAATACGCAAACCATTTATATAATATTTATATATATATTATAACTAAAT